CGGTACCGGCTAGATATAGTCGGACTCACCTCGAACCTCGACACATAGCATTGGCTCTGGAACCCAAATCCTTGAGAGGGGTTGGACACTCTCCTTTGCTGGAGTTGCTCCGGGTGAGAGGCGGAGGGCTGGGGTTGGCTTTTTGTTAGCCCCAAGACTCTCTGCCTGTGTGTTGGGGTTTTCCCCGGGGGACGAGAGGGTAGCTTCCCTGAGCCTTGTGTCGGGGAACAGGTCCTGACTGTTGTTTGTGCTTATGGGCCAAATATCAGTTCAGAGTACCCACCCTTTTTGAAGTCCCTGGGACGAGTTCTAGATAGTGCTCCATCAGGGGACTCCATTGTCCTGCTGGGGGACTTCAATGCTCACGTGGGCAATGACAGCTTGACCTGGAGGGGTGTGATTGGGAGGAACGGCCCGCCTGATCTGAACTCGAGTGGTGTTTCGTTATTGGACTTCTGTGCAAGCCGCAGTTTGGCCATAACGAACACCATGTTGGAACATAAGGATGCCCATCGGTACACTTGGTAACAGGGCAGCCTAGGCCGCAGGTCGATGATAGACTTTGTAGTCGTATCATCTGACCTGCGGCCGTATGTTTTGGACACCCGAGTGAAGAGAGGAGCGGAGCTGTCAACTGATCACCACCTGGTGGTGAGTTGGATCAGATGGCAGGGGAAGATGCAGCGTAGACCTGGCAGACCCAAACGCACAGTGAGAGTCTGCTGGGAATGCCTGGCAGAAGAACCTGTCAAGACAGTCTTCAACTCCCACCTCTGGCAGAGCTTTGACCGCGTCCCGAGAGCAGTGGGAGACATTGACTCTGAGTGGGCCTTGTTCCACTCTGCGATTGTTGAGGCGGCTGTCGCTAGCTGTGGTCGCAAGGTGGCCGGTGCCAGTCGTGGTGGCAACCCCCGTACCCGCTGGTGGACACCAGAGGTTCGGAGAGCCGTCAGGCTGAAGAAGGAGGCCTACAGGGTGTGGCTGGTCTGTGGATTTCCGGAGGCAGCAGACAGGTACCAGATAGCCAAGCGGGGTGCAGCAGTGGCAGTTGCCGAGGCAAAATCTTGGGCATGGGAGGAGTTTGGTGAGGCCATGGAGAAAGACTATCGATCGGCTCAAGAGAGGTTCTGGCAAACTGTCCGGCGCCTCTGGAGAGGAAGGCAGCAACTCGCTCACACTGTTTACAGTGGGTATGGGGAGCTGCTGACGTCAACTGGGGCTATAGTCGGACGGTGGAAGGAATACTTTGAGGAGCTCCTCAATCCCACCTACGTGCATTCCGAGGAGGAGCCAGAGCCGGGAGACCTGGGGATGGACTGTCCAATCTCGGGGGCAGAAGTTGCTGAGGTAGTCACACAACTACACAACGGCGGAGCCCCGGGGGTGGATGAGATTCGTCCTGGGTATCTCAAGGCTATGGATGTTGTAGGGCTGTCGTGGTTGACACGTATCTGCAACATTGCGTGGTCATCGGGGGCAGTTCCTGTGGAGTGGCAGACCGGGGTGGTGGTCCCCATCTTTAAGAAGGGTGACCTGAGGGTGTGTTCCAACTACAGGGGGATCACACTCCTCAGCCTCCCTGGAAAGGTCCACTCAAAGGTACTGGAGAGGAGGGTCCGAGTGATAGCTGAATCTCAGATTGAGGAGGAGCAATGTGGTTTTTGTCCTGGTCGTGGAACTGTGGACCAGCTCTATACCCTTGCAAGGGTGATGGAGGGGGCATGGGAGTTTGCTCAACCAATTCACATGTGTTTTGTGGATTTGGAGAAGACTTATGACCATGTCCCCAGGGGCACCCTGTGGGGGACGCTCCAGGAGTATGGGGTGGATGGCTTTCTGTTAAGGGCCATTCAGTCCCTTTACCAGAGGAGCGCGAGTTTGGTCCGCATAGCCGGTAGTAAGTCGGACCTGTTCCCGTTGAGGGCTGGACTCCGCCAGGGCTGCCCTTTGTCACCGGTTCTGTTCATTACCTTTATGGACAGAATTTCTAGGCACAGCCGTGGTGTGGAGTGTGTCGAGTTTGGTGGCAGGAGAATCTCGTCTCTGCTTTTGCGGATGATGTGGTCCTCCTGGCTTCATCCAGCTCTTGCTGGGTAGGTTCGCGGGCCTCGCGGCCAAGTGTGAAGCGGCTGGGATGAGGATCAGCACCTCCAAATCTGAGACCATGGTTCTCGACCGGAAAAGGGTGGCTTGCCAACTCCGGGTCGGGAGAGAGGTCCTACCGCAAGCGGAGGAGTTTAAGTATGTCGGGGTCTTGTTCACGAGTGATGGTAAGAGGGATCGAGAGATCGACAGGCGGATTGGTTCAGCGTCTGCAGTGATGCAGACACTGAGCTGATCTGTTGTGGTGAAGAGGGAACTGAGCCAGAAAGCCAGGCTCTCGATTTACTGGTCGATCTACGTCCCAATCCTCGCCTATGGTCATGAGCTTTGGGTAATGACCGAAAGAACGAGATCGCGGATACAAGCGGCCAAAATGAGTTTCCTCCGTAGGGTGGCCGGGCTCAGCCTTAGAGATAGGGCGAGGAGCTCAGACATTCGGAAGGGACTCGGAGTAGAACCGCTGCTCCTCCGGATTGAAAGGAGTCAGCTGAGGTGGTTTGGGCATCTGGTCAGGATGCCTCCCCGGGGAGGTGTTTCGGGCATGTCCTGCCGGCAGGAGGCCCCCGGGTCAACCCAGGACACGTTGGAGGCTACATCTCCAATCTGGTCCGGGAACGCCTTGGGGTCCTGCCGGAGGAGCTGGCCGGGGAGAGGACGGTCTGGAGCTTCCTAGTTGGCATGCTGCCCCCGCGACCCGGACCAGCGGAGGAAGACAACAATTTATTTTAAAGACATATTATCTAAAACTCACCATTTGGGTCTCTATTGCCTGTATAAAAACTCCAAACGTTGAAAAAAATATGTCCGTTCGTTCAAGGGCGTCAGTTTGTTTTCAGAATTGCTGGGGACAATAACCATACACTGGAGTGGGGTTTAAAAATTGCTGGGGACAATAAAGTAGGCTAGCACAGGGGTCAGCAATCCGCGGCTCTGGAGCCACATGCGGCTCTTCCATCCATCTGATGCAGCTCTCTGTGCTTGTAAAATAATGAATGGATATTTAAATAAAAAGCTTTATATTTTACTGCATTAATTTTACATCTGTATGCCAATTCTAAATGTAAAGATTGTCTGCGTAAACCTGAACAGGTCCAACCCGGTCTTACTGTGAGACCGGGTAGACGCGTCACGCTTGTGCGTAATGGTAATCATATGCGCTTCCTGAGCTGGAGGATGTCAGATTCTGGGATTCTCCTCAGACGGCTCATGGATGCGTCGCCACATTGGAGACAGGAACAAGCACTATTCAGCCAAAGTTTCATCATCAGGTTTGGCAGTGTGAGTGTCCTGTCACAGTGTCCCGATAGATAATGCGCCCTGGCTACTTGGCCAAGGGGTTGTCCCTTTGGCTGACTGGTTAGAGCGTATGACTCTCACCCGGGAGTCTGGGGATGCCCTCGTTTCATTTGACTGTTTATTTTGACAGAAGAACTCAAGGATGTTGCTTGGTTTGAAAGAATTACCCCGACGCACACTGATGCGCATGGATGAGCTGACATTTTAATCGTTAACGCACATCGCGGAGGTAAAATATTCCCATCAGAACATCAGAGCTTTATACTGGACACTGTGTTCAGCGTGGCTCGGAGCGCCCACGGTGGACAGTGAGCTGAAGATCTGGGGTTCCAGCGCAGTGCAGAACCACGACGCATGCGATAAGATTTCCTCCCACTGAAACAGTCTGGAAACCCGGTCTCTCTGAGGGATGTGTCACTTGGAAAAATGTTCTTTTCATGAAATTATGAAACTCTGGCTGAACAGCGCTTGTTCCCGTCTCTAATATGGAGACGCATGACGCGTAGAGACATTTGATCACGCACAAAGTTTATGTGGAGCAGAAGCGGTCGGGCCACGGCAGGTGAAACGTTCCTAGCCTACATGAAGTGAAACTGTTTAATTGTAACATTAATGTGTTACTGGACACGCTGGTCTGGTTGGTTAGACCAGTGTTTGAAGTGGAACACACACACACACACACACACGCACGCACGCACACACACACGCGCACGCACACACACACACACACACACACACACACACACACACCAATTAAAATAATGCTGATAGCGTGGACTAGAAGACAGGTGATGGTTTACGTATTTAAATGATGATCAGGCTGCTGTAAAATGTAATCTCCATCCACATCCAGACACAATTATCCTCTATTCTTTCTCTAGTTGCTCTGCTCTTGACTGGGCTGATCAGCTGACGGTGCGCGCGACGCGCCTAACTAGCGGCTGATGCACATTTTACGCATTTGGAGAGGTGGACTGGATGCTTTGCGTTTACTGGAAGATGGTCCACTTAACGCACGGGTGTAGACTACATATTAATGACAAATGAATGAAAATTAAATTGTGAGTTTTAACTTCATATTTTATAAGTAAAAAGGACGGGGGAACACATTTATGACGTCTTTTTAAACTAAATTTTCTAGCGCGACCTGCCTGCTCCACTTAAGTCACTGCTTATTAAGGTCCGTCCAGAATTACTGTGGGAAACGGGTAATAATGGCTCTTTGATGGGAATAGGTTGCCGACCCCTGGTATAAGATCTGAGCTGGTAAAACAAAAATCCTCATCAGCAGGCTTTTTTGAAAGTGGGGGGGACACAGCTGCCAATCACAAATTTTGCCGGGGACATGTCCCCGGCGTCCCCGGTTAAAATGACGCCTATGCGTTCGTTTTCTGTCAGTGTTTGGTTTGGGGATTTTGTACCTAAAACAAGCCATTTCAAAAAGTCCTTTTTTGTGACGTCACAAATGGGGAAAGCAGAATAGAACCACCTCTCATGTGCAAGAGGACAAATGATGTAAAAGCAGCAGCTCTACACTTTTTTATTTGGTCTGAGTAAAGTGTCATTGTTTAAATTTCCTCTCAAAGCCGTAAAACTACAAATCAGTGTTTGATCATTTTAATCTTTTTTTTTAAACACAAGAACATCTGTTTCTCATAGCAAGACAGGCATGATACCCTGCCTTCATGTAAATAAACACACCCAAACTATTATCAGCAAAGACACTTATTTAGTCCACATCTGTCTTTTTGGGTATTAGATGAGTTTGAGGAAAGTGCATTCAGTGGGAGAGCTGATGGTGCAGAGCAGCAGACAGCAGATGGGTGAGGAGGAGAGGGGACATGGATGCTGCAGCAAAAACAAAGTACTGAAAAGAACAAATGAGATAAATCTGGGGTTCACAGCTTGTCTTATAAGATATACGAACACTGATGAAACCAAATTTCAGGTTTCTGTCTAATTTGATTGAAGGGAGTAGTTTTTGTGATTTGATGCATCAGAAGTTCCTCATTTTTAAAAATTTCAATGCCAGAAAAAAAAAACAAAAGTTTATATATATATATATATATATATATTTAGAGCGAGTTTACTGGCATAATTTGAGCATCTCCTGTCATCCCCCAGCTCCACCACAGACCGTCTGCAAAGCTAAACGTAACCATTTTAACACTTAAAGCATGTTGTCACATGGCTCAAACACGCACACACCATCCAGAGCACTTTAGCTCTCTCATACGGTCATTCAGTTTATCTCTCTCTCACACACACACACACACACACCATTGTTCATATTCTAACAGAAAACACACAAAAGGCATGGGCTGATTTTTGAACACAACCATAAAGTGCACATATGGAGGTACAGCTCAGAGATGAAGACACATGTGGAATGAGTTCAGCTTCAAGGATAAATCCAACAGAAACCAAAAGGAGACTTGGATGGATACAGTAAGGCCCACATGATGGAGATACTCTGTAAAACAGCTGGTGAGTGTGTGTGTGTGTGTGTGTGTGTGTGTGTGTGTGTGTGTGTGTGTGTGTGTGTGTGTGTGTGTGTGTTATTTTGGAAAATCTTTAAGGGATAAATGTGACAAAGACTACAACTCTGTGCATCAAATAAACCCTTGATCAGTCAGTCTCCTCTCATTTCATCTCTTGTTAGAAACTGCAGATGTGGAGAACGGTTTCCTCATTAAAGGCAATCCAGGTGAATGAAAATCAGCAGAAAAATCACATCCAAACTCAGAAAAATACAGCAGAAGCTGCTCAAAAGCAACACACTGAAACCAAATAAGGCAGATGGTTAAAACAGAAAACTGATTGATGATGAAATCATACAAAAAAAGGAGCAAAGAAAACAAAAGGCACAAAAATTAAAAGGTGATGGCAATAATAAAAAAAAAAAAAAGTAAATGTCAGCTAGAATGACCCCAAACACAAAGAACGTCCCTCTGGTTCTGGAACAGTCAGCTGGAAGTGAGGGAGTCAGTTCATTTAGAACACTGCTGAACACAACTGACCGCTGCTGCCATCTACTGGCAGCTGACACACACTGCTATCAGCTGCTGCAGTCGGGTGGCACTTTGAGTTCAGGAGACCAACCTCATCCCAATCGGAACCCAACAAGCAGGATTCAAGCCCAGCAGAAGGGCTAGTACATTTTCACCCCTCAATTCCTTCTGAAGCACCCTGTAAAGGAGCAAAGAGAAAGAAAAAGCACACACGGCAGCCCAAGGCCAAACAGAACCATCATGACACCCATCCTCATGAGACGTCACATCGAATAATCACAGAGAAATCAAAACATGTAAACAGAGATGTAAGTCTGTGGAGTCGTGCTTTTTATCTGGGAGGTTAAGCGACGTCGATGTTCAGGTGTCCGGCTGCCCTGACCCATGAGGAGTGCAGGTGGAGGCGTGATGAAGGGACGACCAGCTCCTCCTACTCCACCTTAACGCCCATCTTCTCTGTGTTTAGTAAGTAGAGGCTGTCATCTATCAGGAAACTGTTGTCAGAAAGAAGAGAGTTACTCCTTTAAATCCATCACCTTTTATGCACACTTGGTTTCTTCAAATGTGGGCGGGGCAAAAACCTGTAGAAAAGGAAATGCACCGGGATGGTGCTGAGGTGCCAAACGGCGTGAGCGTCCAAGATCCAGAGCAGCGGGGGGAAGTCCAGCAGCTCCAGCAGGGCCAGACCGTGAAGCATCAGCGCTACCAGGCCACACTTCCACCAGTACGGGAGAGTCCGCCGGTTCTGCCAGCACCAGCACAGCCACCACAGAAGGTTCACCATGCCTTCAAGATGTGGGAGGAAGAGTCAGTTCTACTCAATCAGAGCCATTAGAGTTTAAATCACACTGGAAAACATGAAATACACGAGAAACGATCACAGCAGCAACCCTGCCATCAGAAACCTGTGTGACATTAGCAACAAGATGTCTGTGGCCATTAAACACACACACACACACACACACACACACACACACACACACACACGTTATGTTCTGATGAATGTGATGCAGCAGCAGCAATAAAACTAAATAATATACTGATAATAAACTGGATATTTAACACAATGGATATAAATAATAACTTGGAAACTCCAAAGCAGGACCCATATGATGAGTTGAGTGACTGACACGGTTAGAAAGAACAGTTTCGGTACCGATGGTGACGTTGGCAGCCATGTTGTATCCGTAGTCGAAATTAACAAAAGTCAGGTAGGAGACATGTGATGTGAAGACCAGGATGAGCAGGGCTCCCACCATGCTGGACCTCCCGGGGTGCTTCAGACCTAAAGTTCTAGAATAAAAAACAGTTTTGTAGAATAAACTTAGATAATACAGTCAGAGATGTTTAGACTGTCTACAACTGAGGAGAATGTGTGTGAAATATTTAGTTTCTTTAAATCAGTAAACTAAACAAAAATTCAGGTCTGGTCATTACTTTTCTGATGTTTTTCTGCAAAGTAAACAAACAAATAAACAAAACAAAACAAAACAAATGTAGGAAACACAAAACCACAGCAGCAGAGCTTACCTGACACAACAAAGGTAGATGGAGTAAAGAATGACAGCTGTTGCACAGAAATAGTCCATTTTCTGATGGAGAAAACAAACAGTTATCTAATTTACAATTCAGACACATAAATGATGCACCTGCCAGAAAACAAACACAAAGAGCTCAAGAGTTGTCACTAATAGCATTAAGATGTCCCCGATCAGCTCAGCTCATTAGCACACAAACGAGCACACGAGTTTATGCTAGCAAAGGTGATTTATTTTTCTACTTACAATGTAAAAAATAGGAATTATGATATTTTTACCTACTTTGTTATTCATCAGTGATAAAAGAAAAAAACCTAAATTAGATTATTTTTAGTTGGATTCAGCTCAGCTAACAAACAAGCTGACCGAACAGAGTCCAAATATTTACCCTTACCTCAGTGAGAAAAGTGTCTCGGGTGTGAAACACGGTTGACCAGAACCAAGCATTCAGAGAAACCTAAACACACACACACACACACACACACACAGGTTGTTGTTGTGTGTACATGGTGGGTGGCAGTATTGGTGTTTTGTCTGCAGCTCACCAGCGAGAAGGCGTTGGTGGTGTGGTACATGGGGCTCTGGCGTGGCACTGCGCACCGATAGCGCAGCAGCATGAGAAGGCAGGCCAAACCATTCAACAGGGACGCCAAAGCCGACGCGGGCTCCTCAAAACACAGGAAACGGACAAAAGGCCACTGCCAAACAACATCACCAGTGACTTCAGATCACACTCATGAAGTGATGCAGAGTGACATAAACCTAAAACACATTCCTACAACATCTGAATAGGAGTGATGAGTGACTAAGGATGAGACATACCTTGCCGTGGAACTGAGGGATTCTGTACCCCTCTGCCTGGTAGAGGTCCACTGTCGTCCACATGCACTGGTAGCGACAGTCATCACGACACGTCCACCCTGGAAGACACAAACGGGGACACATGGCAGCTGGCACAGTTAACTAAGGAATTAGACAAAACGATCCGATTTGACCCAGGTAACTCAATGACAGGTGTTTCTTTGACTAAAAGCCAAATCCGTTCTTTTGTTCAGATTCTAAGTATTTTCTCCATTTAAACTTCCTTAAAAACAAACAAATCTTTAGGATGCTTTTTTGTGGATTTACATGAAAAAAAATCCTTATTGGGCCCCTCTTCCAGTAGATAGATGTAAAAAGGCCTTTTTGTTATTGTTGTCTTTTACGATTATGTAACGTGACAACTTGGTGAAGTCAGATTCAACACACACACACACACACACACACACACACACACACACACACACACACACACACACACACACACACACACACACACACACACACACACACACACACACGAGGAGAAACTGAACCACAGAACAGTGAGGCAGAGGCATGAAAAGACCAGTAGTGGGTTCGTTTCGCTAATGTCAAGTCTGACGCGGTTAGCTTAACTCCGTCACCTGCCTGCTACTACGACTCACCTATCAGCGCCATGTATTGGGGCTGGGTGGACTCAAAGCTCCGCCGCCGAGCCCCGGTGCAGTTCGTCCGGACGCACAGCTTCAAGCAGTCTCGGTAAACCGGCTCCTTGTCGCCTTGAGAGGACTCCACGGTGGTCACCGACACCAGGAGCAGCAGGATGACAGCGGCCAAAGCGGGGAGCCTGACAGATGTGCAGCGGGGAAACGCCGAGGCCATGGCGGTTGATTTCGGCCCGTCCGGACTCTCGAAGGCACTGCGGGACCACAGCGGCGCTAAGCCAGCGGTGCTCATTACCACGGGGTCATGGCGAGTTTGGGGTGACAAACAGGACCAAAAGTATCGCTGAGCTACAGCGACTGACCACTGCTTCCTAACAATCTCCGTCCACTCACCGCGATCAGGTTCAACAGACGCACGGTGTTTCCGGTTTGTTTTCAAAATAAAAGAGGGTTAAGATCTTTACAGCTGTCGCTGGGAGCTGTTGTTTTTTATATTTATTTATTTTTATTAATCAACTTCGTAAACTGGGTTTCTGGATATATGCCCTGTATACGTTTTGAGTGAACTATACATTAATTATTGTCTCTTGTGCATGGATATTGTGCTCATTTCACTTTATTTTATCTATACAATTTGTTTTCTCCACTTCTGTGAATTACGAGTCCGGAATAATACTTGACTATTGTTTTATTATATTTCGAAGTGAAATGTTTTGTCGCAATTTGACCCCCATCCTGTTTAAAACAACGCAACCAAGACACGTCACGCGTTTAAATCTAATAAACAGAGTTATGTGTAAAATTCAGGTTGACATAGCTGATGGGGTTTTGTTTTGGTCGCAGTCATCCTTCGATTATATATTGCAAAAAAAGATATGCGCTAAAAAGGAATATACAGGATATAACATTTTGTACACAATCATAGATTTTATACCTGTACCACATATTCTGGTGTTAAAGGAAATGTGAAAAAAATCTCAGCAGCCCCAGAATGTTGCCCTGCAGTTTAGCGAATAATGGCATTTTGACTTTGGTACACATAAACTAACATCATGTTTGTACAGTATTGATAATTAATATACTGTAGTATTATATTGAATTAATAGATGAATATGGGATCTGAGCATCCATTTAAAAATTACTACAAAAACTTGAATTTTTCTTTAGTAGAAACTCTAGGAGTATACGATGTGTAGCACTAATGAAAAAACTCAATTATTTATATATTATTTTGAATAAAAGTTCTTTGTAAATGCCACTGGTTGGATCAACTGCTGCAGGGTGGTGTTGTCAAGAAGAGATGGAATAAAGTGGGGTGTAGAAATCAGAACAAAAGGAGACGGCGGCTGGCTTCAGGAAGAAAAGGTCTCCTACACTTAAAAAGATAACCTGGAGGTTCCACAGAGCTAGAAATACCTGGGTGTGTTTCTAAACAGCAGACTGGACTAGTGGTGCTGCTGTTTAAGATGAAGGGATGGACAGAGTATATCTGTGCAATATGATGCTGGAGATCTTGCACTGGTCTGTGATCATCTGCGGTGCAGCAGTTTGACAGGAGCAGCATCAGTACATCAGAGGTGGAAATGCTTCCTAGAGGTCAGCAGAGGCAGCACTGAGCCAAGCAGCTGTCCCAGCCAAAAGAACAGAGACCCCCACCAGCTTCATGCAGCATGCTCTCTATCCTATCAGGCCAGGCGGCGCACTTCAGCAGCCTGCAGATGCTGGTCCTATTGGCGTGACCTCTCCTGACCTCTTACTCAGCACACATCTTTTTGCAGTAAATATTTATGTTGAATTGGAATTTTATTATTTGTATTCTCCAATTTCACTTACAATTTCCTTATCTTTTTCAAGAATAAAATAGGCTGCAGACATATGCACGCTGACTACGGACCCCTGGTTTAAACTGTCTCCACTATTTATATTCAGCATGAGTTATTGAAAGGTTGTAAGACACCAACAGATAAGGTTATGAACTGCTTCCATTCATGCTCCAACTGAAACCAGCAGACACAACGTCGTACGAAACACGGTGGCTTTATTTCTACTTCTTCTTTCGTTACAGTGGAGACAAAAGAGACACGGGCACAACGACGGGAGAGAAACAGCAGTAAGACAGGAGAAAGAGACAAAAATCAAAGACATTTTACTTTTGTTCATCTCGTTTCTTCCCCATCCCAACATCTTTCACCATCTCTTCCTCAATGTACAAGATTGAAAACTTGTCTTTCATCTTTTTGCCGCAACTTCTTCTGCATGAGTCAAAAAGTGGTTAAAGAGAGGAGTAGGCAGCTATTGTAGTGCAGTACTCTCACTCTTTCACCTTACACTCCTCCCTCAAACATATAGTGACAGAAAGTCGAAACATTCTGAAATGTTGAGACTAACAGACCTCTTTGATCAGACACTCACTTGTTGCAAGCGAGTGTCTGTGCGTGCGCCGAAGCACCCAAGAAACACTTCAGTCGGCCGCCGTGTACACTGGACTACATCGTGCACACGAGCTCAGCGTAGACACGATGCACGCACTGTTGGCCTCAACACAAGATCGGAAGAAGTGAGGAAAGGAGGAGAAAAAAGAGGCAGGGACAGAGATGGAGAGAGGGTTTCTGTGTCACGAGATTATTTTTATTGAAAACAATCCCATCATTCCCTGTTGGTGATCACACTCATCCTCCCGCCACACACATACAGCCCCACGTCCTCTCACAGAGCATCTCAGAGCAGGAGAGAGAAGTCTTTTCATTTTGAGCGTGCGAGCAGTGAAGATTGGACCTGGGTGTGAGTGTGTGAGCGGGTGGATGGTGGCAAAATGGCAGGACTGAACAGAGGTAGAGCTGTGGGGAGGGAAGGTGTGTGTGTGTGAGGGGGTTACTCCTCCTTGTCCTCTCCGTGTGTGATAACGTAGCAGATGTTCTTGTAGTCCACATTGCCAGCCACATCTGGAGGGAAGGCAGCCCACATGTTCTTCATCTGTGGGGAGGGCAAGGGAGTTACTGAAGCATCTTAGAACTTTCAATAACATTTCACCCATTCTGACGTGCACTTCTAATAAAACGTTGTAGTAATCAATATTTTACTCATCCTAAAAAGCTTCCCGAACAGCCTCAGTTCAGAGAAATAGAGTTTACATCAGGGGAGACTGAAGAGGTTTAGGGCTAAGCAAAAAGAGGTCTGAGGAGTCAGGAGATCAAAAGTTAAAAAGCCTTTAATGATACACGGCTTAAATGGTTAAAAACTTTCTGCCAACGCGTTTCAGCCGGCAGGGCCTTCGTCAGGGCTCAAAATGTTTGTAGGTCCTCTCACTTCCTTGTAAAGAAGGCCAATCAGTGACACCTGCTGAAGTTGGGCAGGTAGACAGCATCATGATTGGATGACCAGTATCGCACAAAAAACTTTTACATTCTGAAAAATCCTATTATACGGAGAAATACTCACAAATGTTAAATTACCGCTGAGAACTGAGAAAAAGGAAAAGTAAGTAAATACAAACTTAAAGACAAACGGTACAAATATAGTAAGAAAACATAGAATTACAAAAAAGGAGCAAAATCCAATTCTCTATTAAGACCTGGAAAATGTGTAGCTTTAACTGTATAAATCCAAAATGATTGTCTTTGCAAGAGTTTTTTTTAAACATTTAAGCCATGTATCATTAAAGGCTTTTTAACTTTCGACCTCCTGAGTGCCTCAGACCTCGTTATGCTTAACATTCATGTGGATCCCTTGCCTGAAGTGCACCAGTGAGAGCAGCAGACCATTTTTTTACACCCGTGCAGCACTTCCAGCATTTTTTCTTTTTCCTTGACTTAGAAAAAAACAGATCCTAGATTCCACATGTTTGATAGCCTGGCAAGCCAGACTAAATAAGCAAGAATTTGGTCTAGTTTACTAGGCTACATGTTTGATGCTTTTTAGCTAATTCCTGGTGGACCTGACCCCTGGGTGACCCGGTAGCTATTAACATCATTTATGCTGAGAAATAACAAAAGATATGCATCCAAACTATGGTTCCCTGGCTGTTTTTTTTTTTTTTTTTGTGGGCTTCAAATGCTGTTCAAGAATGGTAGCATTCGGTAGCCTGGCCTGCCAGACTCCTCCTCTGTTTAATTCTGCACAGAGAAAGAGTCTGGGAACTCTCCTGTTCAAATAACCCCATCCCGTGAGAATTTGAACCGAGCCAATCAGCACTGAGTAGCGTACGTCACACACCACAATGCCAAGTTTGTCATAAACATGGCGACTGAAGCGGCGTTCGCTGCGGCTCTTTCCTCTGTTCTAAATGACTTGAGCATGTCTTTAAAACAACAACAAGTAGAAGTGCAAACTTCTTTCTTTTTCCTAAAGAAAGATGTTTGTACTGTCGCCAGACGCCATTTTTGACTACAGCTAAAAAACTACAGGGTTGCGTGGTACAGTCAGCATTTCCATCTTTTTTTCTGATTGGTTGTTTTTGAGCAGCCTAGTCCCGCCCCTCATGTGCCTCTCTGCCTGTGAGTAACCAGACTAGTTCTCTGTGCAGAATGAAACAGGACGAGTCTGGCAGGCCAGGCTAAGTATTTGGGCTAGACTGTTGATGCAGACTGATGCGTTTACAAATCCTAGTTTTTTTACAGAGATACAGAATTTTAACAATAATGTTTTAAAAGTATCTGTCTTATGCCTTTATATTAATTTAAGAACAAACCCTCACCGCACTTTTTAAAGAACAGACTTGTGAGCACCGTTGATAAAACCAGACTGAACCAATGAAGAGTGACCCGTATCCTGTTTTTGGTTCTGATTATGGATGCAAATTTATTCTTACGTCACAAATCCAGGGAATTTGATGCTTTTCTTCTCTTAGACAAAAATATGAAACACTTTTTACATCTCATATACACATATTTATACATCCTTTAGTTGTTTTTGTGTAAATGTTGGATGTTTATTTTACCCCAAAAATATTCTTCAGAAAAAAACTGAGTTTGTGACCATTGATTACTTTCAACTTGACGATTTCCCCCATATCTTGAAAAGTTAGGACTCCCCCACTCTGTTTAATTTAACTGAACACATTTATGTATTTTTGTTATAATAAAATATATTTTCAATCATCTTTTAACATCTTTTTATGACGGCTCAGGTCACGACACCATGAAATGCGAAATCGATCATCAATCCTGAATGACGCAAAAGCTATTTCTCTGAACATAGGCCGTTCAGGAAAATAATTCAGTCATTTTTCATACAGTGAGATGGAATATGAATGAGGGAAAGACTGATCAGCTCACCTCTTCAGCACTGAACCTGTCGCACTGGGTGGTCAGGAGCTCCTCCAGGCTGGAAGGGAAAGCACAGATTAAATAAACCTTTACTAATCCAGAGCTGTGATGTAAGTTTTTGTGTAAAAAAATAAAAAATAAAAAAAACTTTAAAACTCTTACAATTCCTTCTTAATGGCGCCAGTGGCATTAGGGTCCAGGACCTTGAACGCGCTAACGATGACATCCTCAGGATCAGCACCTAGCAGGAGCAGACAGTTAAACACTTTTTATGAAAAACATCCAATAATTATTTAAATAAATGTATGTAAATATGTTTGGTAAATGGGTTAGGGTTAGAGATGAGGGGAGAATGGTGAAGTCACCCTTAAGCTTCTCTCCGAACATGGTCAGGAAGACGGTGAAGTTGATTGGACCACTGGCCTCCTTCACCATGGCTTCCAGCTCATCGTTCTTCACATTCAGCTGGCCCATGGTGGCCAGCACGTCCCTGAGGTCGTCCTTGCTGATGATGCCATCTCTGTTCTGGTCGATGATTGTGAAAGCCTTCCAGAGACCGCGTTTAAACACAAAAACCAAACGATAAGTCCGATATTCTAAAAACTGTCTGGAATCTGACAGCTTTTGCTTCTTTTACTGGAATTCAATTTAACGAAACAATACAACAAGTGTCCCGTTTCCCACGAGTCCTTGCTGGAAGACTTGTTAATTGTAATTATAAGTGGGAGCTAGTCTGCCAAGGTGAAAGTGTAAAGTGGAGCTGTTATCCACTTCTCTTGCTACATAGCTCCACGCTTCGGCCGCTGAAACCAAAGATGGCACTGTAAACTTTTTGGGACTTGGCAGCTGGTCGGCCACTTGTCTCTCTAAGGTGTTAAAATGGTTCTGGAATGTGAGACAAGCCCCTTGCGACATTTAAAGAGAAGGTATTGATTACAGCTGTCATCCTTTAACCTTGTGACTGAATCTTCTGACCATGTCACCAATGTTCTTTCACCATTTGGGCTCTGCAAGGAGACCAGATCAACTACTGTTGGTATTTTTTCTATTTATTCTGCAAAATATCAGATAATACCAAAGAAAAAAAATCCAAGTCTTGGGTGCTAATAAAACAGCTGAAAGGGGCAAATTCTTAGTGATTCCTTAGTGAGGACTCGTGTGTAGACCTGGTGACCTCAGATGCTGTATGCTCTCTTTCCTTTGAGCCCCTCTTTCCTGCTTTGATTAATTTGACTTTCCACCAGCTGTTGGGCTGCATTCCAGTGGAGTCACACTGTGTGTGTCTCTAAGGAGAATTACTGAGCAGGGCAAAGGCATCACCTGTCACTGGAAACCCGCAGATTTACGGTCCTGTCATGCTGATGAGGACATTTTTACCATCCCTGATCACAACTACACAATTCAGACGCCTGCTTGCATTACGGCCCGGGTCAAAATGTACACAGAGCTGACATTTATGCAAATCAAAAAGCCCCGAAGTGTGGCGGATGTGATGAAGAAGATGATACCTCCTTGTACTCCTGGATCTGGCTCTGCTCGAACATGGAGAACACATTGGAGGATCCACCCTCACCCTGCTGCTGCCTCCTCTTGGCCTTCTTGGGTGCCTGTCACAACAAAAAAACACTTCTGATGAAAAATGTAAATCAAACACATTTTCTTTCTGATGCAACTTTAATTGCTCAAAAAAATGGGGGAAAATCACAATTTTCCTATTGCTTCTGAATAAACAAACTTTTTGAATATTTAAAATAAAATAAAATATATATATTTTTTTAAGATTTTTGACCCTTCCTGCTTTTGGTAACAGGTATTAGCATTGATCCCCAAACAGATTTCATTGTGATTCAGGTGTTTTTCTTTAGGGATCCAAATCCAGAGTTTGGAGGTTCCATCGGATGCTGGTAATCCTCATGCATCAGTTTTCAAAGCCGAGGAGATCCCAAATCCTACGGTTGGTTCTACTGCGGAAAACGGCCACACACTCACCATCTCTTAGGATCGTGGGGTAGTTGTTGGTCAAGAAGAGAAGCCTACTGCGAGCCGATGTGACTGACATGTATGGATTGGCCTCTTGGGGTCTTATATATTAGCTCTAGGGGGGCTAACTTTAGCCACAACATCAGGTTTGGCAGGAAAGCAGAGCCGAGGTAGAGTAAGAAAAACAGGGAGGAGTGTGAGGAGGTGCTCGAGTGGATCGGCTTACTGACACTCCAAAATAGGCTGCAAAGTCTTGGAATGAGGTGAATTCAATGCCAACAGACAGGCCTGACTTTGGTGTCATCTGTGGACTAATAAGGCCAAACAGAGGCACAGGACACGCGGGGGGACAAGTCCAATCTAGCCCCTTTTGTTGTCGCTGCTGCGGCTACTTTATTCTATTAATACAGATGGGGTCAACTTGAGCGCTGCTTTCTAATTAATGTTCCTGCTGCTCGTTGGCCGGCGTCTGTTTGGCGTGAACATATTCTGAAGTCATCAGCTGTGTAAATAATGGCTCCACTCCAAGGTTTGGCCACATCAGTGAGTGCTGTTGGGAGTACACACGGTCATGAAGCACTTGGTGATGACACTCGTCAACTAGGCTTCAGCTGCATTCATGAGTCATACAAGCAGACACAGTTAGGGTGAAATACACTGTAAATAACACACACACACACACACACACACACACACACACACACACACACACACACACACACACACACACACACACACACACACACACACACGCTGCTGTTTATTGTTGTCTACTTAGGCCTTGTTCATGATGACCCCGCTGTTGTTTTGTCCTGCTTGTGCTGTTTCCATTGTTGTTTTCACTCCTCTTGTGCCCCACTCCCCATTCACTCCCTCTCGTTGCTTTTTTTTTGTCCATCTTTTTTCTCCCAGCCTGTCCACTCTGGTGAGCAGATGTGGTCTGTCATGCCACAATCATCATAAAGTCAACTGTGCAACAGGAGACCGTCTTGTAGAATAAACAGCTGGGCTCCCAGACCAACCATCCCATATGCCTCTCAGTGGTTCCCAAACTGGGGTCTGTGACCCTCCCAAGAGGGTCCCAGTAATTCAATTTAGTCTGTTCCGAGGTTGTGAGGTTACCAAGATTCTATATGTAAAGATTACATTTATAAAATTCCAAAAACACACCCACTGGTGTAGTCAAAATTCAGTGTAAGAGTACTAAATCTGTATGTATAAAGTTTGCAATTAATCACTTTTATGGTGTATATGTAGATGGGAGTGTGTGTGTGTGTGGGTTGGGGGGGGGGGGGTCGGTCTGGAGCACAGGTAAGGGGGTCCATGTTTGGGAACCACAGGTAAATCACTAAAAATAAACAAACAATATAAATACATAAAATTCACATATTTACTCTTTGTGAGTATATTATTTGTGGTGCCATGTTGATTTTTATGTTCTTGCTTTTCTTGCTAATGGAAAGCCTATTTTAATTGCCTCTGTGTGAAATGTGCTATGTAAATTAAGCTGTCCTGCCTTACACATTTACGCACGATGAAATGTGGTTTTTAATATTTACTTTTTTTCTTTCAAGGCTGCAGATGCATGGATGTGGTTTTTGGGGCACACGGGGGGGGGGGGGGGGGGGGGGGACATGCCCCCCCACTTTTGATGATAAATGACCCGCACTTGTAAAGCGCCTTTCAGGGTAAGGACTCCAAAGTGCTTTACACTACAGTGTATCATTCATCCATTCACACACGCATTCACACTGATGGTGAACTACTAAGTAGACACAGCTGCCCTGGGGCACACTGACGGTATTGTTTTTACCCTCTAAAATAATATTATGCTATATTAAATAGACTGGTTGAGCACTAGGAGCAAGCAGATAACCGTTTGTGTTGAAGCCTGTTTCCCTTTAGAATCGTGCATAAGCTCATCTATTGGCTCTGCTGATACTTGCTAACGTGTGATTGGCCGTTCCTGCTGTCACTCCACGTTGTAAACAGGACACGCTCACCATTTTTTTCTAGTTTGTCAGCTGCTAGGAGGGTATTCCAGAAAGTGAGTTGAGAACATCGGCGATCTTTTGATAAATTCCTGCTTGGCAAAGCGCTCCCCTCCCCTCCCGGTTTTGCCGGCTCTACTTACGATTCTGAGGTGGATTCAATTTCCTATCGGCCATGAAGGCTCACGCGCATCCGTAGGCAGCCTGTTAATCAATGCTAGTCCGTCTGTAGGGCTGGACGGTATGGCCTAAAATCAATATCACGATATATTGAGGATTTCACCTCGATAACTATAAATGGACGATAACTACAGATATGCGCAGAAACAAAAGTTGTCCACTAGATGGGGCTGTCACGTATTACGATGAGTCACATTTTTACATGACTCAAGGTGGTGCTGCTTCTTAAAGCGACATGAACGTTGCTAATCTACACACATCTTTTGATTTTTTTATTATCAAATTTATTGACATGGGGAGAATAATCCCGGTAAGTGTCAGAAACTTCGATAACGATAGATTTTCAATTTTATTGCCCAGCCCTATAATCCATCCAATTATACAACTCTTGAACTTAACTAGAGCCAAAATATTTCAGTTCTGCTAGAATCTGATTTAAATGAGCTCTATTGATCAGATAGTCAAAAATAAGTGTGAAATGGTGACAATGAGTAGGAATGACAATGATTAACAAGATGAAAAACAAAGTTGAATAGAAAGTATAAGTTTTTTTTACTGCCACCTGTGTGCCTGATAGTTCTGCATTCCTGACATTGCATAAAAGAGCCTCTAGGCTGTAGTTTTACAAATATTTTTGTACAATTACTGTAAAGAAGATCCCGCCCAGTCCTCATGCCGGTCGTGTCCTTAGTAAAAACTACGTCCATGTACAGATGTATAGAAAACTTTTAAAGCCCGTTAAATGAAAAGATCTTTCTAAGTAGGTTTTTTCTGGACATTTGCCACCATTTTCAGTCCAAAATATTTATCTTAGTCAAGTTGCTTAACTCTGACAGTTTTTAATTTACAAAATAACCCAAAGTTTCATGGTTTAAACTCTGTTAAGAGCAGTAACCCACAAAGGCATTTCTCTATATGAAACTATAAAAATTACCAACAGAAATACAATTTGGCACATAAATGTAAATTTGCTATTAAATGTGTGATTCTGATTGTTCAGATAGTGCTCTCCCAGGTCATGTTTATTTATTTGGTAAGACAGTTTTAGAGACAATCCAGCTGTTATTTAGTCTTATTTTACTTTTCCTCACTAATTGCATTTGTTAGTTTAAATATCTAGAGCAACAATAATAGCAAAAGAGTTTAGGGCGCACTTAAAATGTGTCAAATGGTGAACTAGCAGATCACGATTCATCCGGATGGAAAATAAAAATAAATTACATTTTAAAAAAGCAGCCCAAGTCCAAAAATTTCATTAAAAAAACTTTCAGAAAGCCTAAAGAAGTTTTGATCACATTGACAGCTGATTTACAGGAAGCAGAGCAAAAAATACATTTTGGGTTGTTTGAAACTTTTTACATTTTATGTATGAGCTTTCTCATCATGGATGCACTAATTTTGGTTGCTCCTGGAGCCCCCCACCCCACCCCAGTAAGACCATATATGAGCTCTAAAGGCTGCCATCAATCAGGCCACTATGCAGCTGAGGTATGTTTTGGGAAAGAGCAACCACGTGAGCTGTGTTACCGTGCAAAATCCAACCTAAATCAACCAATCTGAGCACGTCGGTTTCCTAAAACGTCACTCACTGATTTTTCTATTTCTTTTTCCATGTAGTTGTTGATTTATTTCAGCGATGGAATAAAACAAGAGGAGCAGAGGAAGACCAACCAAACATCATAAAAAGGGGACAGCTGGAGACTGAAATAGCGCTGCCACCTCCCCAAACATTCTCTTTCTCAGCCATTTTGGCTCTAGAATAAAATTCATCACTCTTTCTGATAAAACCAGAGCTACTTAGAACAACTGCTGTTCTTTTCTTAAGACAGTTAATGATCTGTTGGAAATTCAGGAGCTTTAATCAAAACTATTAAAAAAACATAAAAACTTAATTCTGTTTAAAATGCAGATATGTCCTGCAGTTTTTCTTAAATAAGATTACTGTAATCAGAGCTCAGATTCACCAAACCAACCATGTTCCAGATTCATTTATCCCCTCTCACGGGCAACTTCAAAGCTTTCAGCCCATCTCTTTGGCCTGTCTAGAAAAAACTGTTGCAGCCATGAAACCCTCTGGCTCCCCAGATGATGTTATCCCACCTCGACTCCTGAAAGAGGTGTTTCCTTTAATTAGCAATAACGTGCTACGCATTATAAATTGTAGCTTGACATTGGCTGAAGTTCCTCGTGCCTTTAAACACGCTGTTCTACAACCAATCTTGAAAAAACCCGGCCTCGATCCCACCGATTACTCTAATCTACGACCAATTTCCAAATTACCGTTTTTATCTAAGGTCCTTGAGAAAATAGTCTATGCACAGTTGGTGAAACATCTAAATGAATATCAGGTAATGGACACCTGTCAGTCTGGTTTTAGACAACAGCACAGCACTGAAACTGCTCATGTTCGGGTGTTTAATGACATTTTTCTGGCTTTAGATTCAAGTTTCCATGTGGTTCTGGTACTTTTGGATCTATCTGCAGCATTCGACACGATCGATCATGACATTTTGATCACAAGACTTCACACTTGGGCTGGCATTTCAGGCACTGCCCTGGATTGGTTTAGGTCATACTTTTGTAACAGGTCTGCTAGGGTCATGTTGGACGGCTGTTCATCAGAGTCACAGCCTCTACGTTGGGGTGTCCCACAAGGTTCAATTCTCGGCCCGTTACTGTTCAACCTCTATACTGTATACTGCCCTTAGGAGCCATTTTCAGAAAGCACGCTGTCTCATACCATCTTTACGCTGACGACTGTCAAATCTATTTTCATTTAAGCCAACTCAGTCAACGCAAGTTCTGTCTGATTGTATCCTTGAGGTCAAGCAATGGCTAGCTGACAACTTCCTCCATCTCAATGACTCCAAAACTGACTTAATCGTTTTCAGTCCTAACAGTATCACGGCAACTCAACAACCTGACCTCAACTATCTCTCACCTAATGTATCCTCTGTAATCTCCAACCTTGGAGTAAAAATGGACCAGGCTCTGAAGATGGATGCCCAGGTCAATAACACAGTTAAATCATGTTTTTACCAACTAAGACGCATCTCAAAACTAAAGCACATCCTGAGTGTCCGTCTTCTGAAATCGGTGGTCCACACTTTTATCACCTCAAGGCTGGATTACTCCAACTCCTGCTTATATGGCATCAGTAAAGCAGCCCTCTCTAGACTTCAGCTGGTCCAGAATTCAGCAGCTAGGTTGCTGACTGGAGCTGACAGAAGACAACACATTTCTCCAATTCTGAAATCTCTCCACTGGTTGCCCGTGCAGTTCAGGATAAACTTCAAAATTATGCTTCTCACTTACAAATCCTTGAACCATCAAGCTCCTCCATATCTGTGTGAACTTGTCCATTACTACAACCCGCCGCGTGCTCTCAGGTCTGAAGATAAGCTCCTCCTAGCTGTTCCCAATGCACGTTTAAAAAGCTGTGGAGAGAGGGCTTTCTCTGTGCACCGAAGCTGTGGAACGCATTACCACTGCTAGTGAGGCTAGCATTTTTAAATCACGCCTGAAAACTCACTACTTCAACCTAGCTAATACAACATAATTATGAACCTCACTGACATCTGCACTGTTTATAAACTGACTCCACAATTATCGACTTCCGTATTATTGAGGTTCTTTGTAAAATGTTTTTTTTTTTCCTATTTTTACTTCACCCTGTGTCTTAATGATTTTTAGCTGTTATTTTTGGGAATTTTCTTGTATTTCCTTTTTATCTTTTATCTGTGTTTGACATGTTTACAGGTGCTGGCCAGTAAATTAGAATATCATCAAAAGGTTGAAAATATTTCAGTAATTCCATTCAAAACGTGAAACTTGTACATTATATTCATGCAATGCACACAGACCAATGTATTTCCAATGTTCATTACATTTAAATTTGATATTTATAGGTGACAACCAATGAAAACATCAAATCTGGTATCTCAGAAAATTAGAATATTCTAAAGGCCAATGAAAAAATGTTTGTTTCTCTAATGTTGGCCAACTGAAAAGAATGAACATGAAAAGAATGTGCATGTATAGCACTCAATACTTAGTCGGGGCTCCTTTTGCCTCACTAACTGCAGTAATGCGGCGTGGCATGGACTCGATCAGTCTGTGGCACTGCTCAGGTGTTATGAGAGCCCAGGTTGCTCTGATAGTCGTCTTCAGCTCCTCTGCATTGTTGGGTCTAGCGTATTGCATCCTCCGCTTCACAATACCCCATAGATTTTCTATGGGGTTAAGGTCAGGCGAGTTTGCTGGCCAATCAAGGACAGGGATACCATGGTCCTTGAACCAGGTGCTGGTGGTTTTGGCACTGTGTGCAGGTGCCAAGTCCTGTTGAAAGGTGAAGTCTGCATCCCCATAAAGTTGGTCAGCAGCAGGAAGCATGAAGTGCTCTAAAACTTCCTGGTAGACGGCTGCATTGACCCTGGACCTCAGGAAACAGAGTGGGCCAACACCGGCAGATGACATGGCACCCCACACCATCACTGACGGTGGAAACTTTACACTGGACCTCATGCAACGTGGATTCTGTGCTTCTCCGCTCTTCCTCCAGACTCTGGGTCCTTGATTTCCAAAGGAAATGCAGAACTTGCTTTCATCAGAAAACATAACTTTGGACCACTCAGCATCAGTCCAGTCCTTTTTGTCCTTGGCCCAGGCGAGACGCTTCTTGCGCTGTTTCTTGTTCAAGAGTGGCTTGACACACGGAATGTGACACCTGAATCCCATGTCTTTCATGAGTCTCCTCGTGGTGGTTCTTGAAGCGCTGACTCCAGCTGCAGTCCACTCTTTGTGGATCTCCCCCACATTTTTGAATGGGTTTGTCGTCACAATTCTCTGCAGGGTGCGGTTATCCCTAGAGCTTGTACACTTTTTTCTACCACATTTTTTCCGTCCCTTCGCCTGTCTGTTAATGTGCTTGGACACAGAGCTCTGCGAACAGCCAGCTTCTTTAGCAATCACCTTTTGTGTCTTGCCCTCCTTGTGCAAGGTGTCAATGATTGTCTTTTGGACAGCTGTTAAGTCAGAAGTCTTCCCCATGATTGTGGTGCCTTCAAAACAAGACTGAGGGACCTTTTAAAGGCCTTTGCAGGTGTTTTGAGTAAATCAGCTGATTAGAGTGGCAGCAGGTGTCTTCTATATTCAGCCTTTTCAGAATATTCTAATTTTTTGAGATACCAAATTTGGAGTTTTCATTAGTTGTCACTTATGAATATCAAATTTAAATGTAATGAACATTGGAAATACATTGGTCTGTGTGCATTGCATGAATATAATGTACAAGTTTCACGTTTTGAATGGAATTACTGAAATATTTTCAACCTTTTGATGATATTCTAATTTACTGGCCAGCACCTGTATATAACGCCTGTTTAATTAACTAACATTTTTAGTGTACAGCGCCTTGTTTGGTTGTAATGCCTTGTGAATGCGCTTTATAAATAAAATTGGATTGGATTGGATTGGAAAATGATTGACTCCATAAGACTAATCGATCATTTAAATGTGCCAACTTTTATATTTCTATCAGAACTGGATCACATGCAGGTGTGGATTTGTGTCTGTTAACAAATCAGAGTAAATGCAAGAGTTTGAGGCAACATACCACCCAGGGTGTTTCTGTGTTGTAAAAACTTATAAAATGTCTCAACAAAAACACCACTCGACTCTAAAAACCAATAAAATCATGAGATTTCAGATCATTTATTGATCAATCTATGATATAAAATGTAAAAGAAAACAACAGATCGACCAAATACATCCTTAAAACGCTCTTTTCTGTCCATACTCACATTGCAGCAATGCAACATTCTTTTCACATTATGGTTTACAAAAAGGTGCAAACTTTATCCAAAATCAATCAAGTTTTCCTCTTGAACAGCTTCGACACCACTTATTTTCTTTGTCCAAACTGCAATCAGTTCCTTTACTTCCTTTCCAAAATCGTCATGCATTTTGCTGAACTCTTCTTCTGTGTCTAAAAAGAAGCTGGACATCTCCAGAGTATCAGCGCCAGCTGTGGACATGTTTGCACCTCGATTGGGTCTCGGTTTGGGGGATTTCTTGGTAGATGTTCTAGACAGAGTTTGGAGGTGTTGACTGGAGCTCAGGGGGGCTCCCGTTCTGAAAACATGAGATGGATATGAAGCCTGGGCTGAAGCGAGCGGGTTCAGATAAGCTCCAGGATCGTTTGGCCCAGATGAGTGGAAGTTTGGCATTTTGAAATGTTTCTTTGGATCAGCGGGCTGTGAGCCTAATGCATCTGTGGGGAGAAGTGAAAGAAACTGAGTCAACAGAAGAACTACTGGCTATATTACATTTACGAAGGTTGATAGCTAAATAAAAGGAGGAATGTTTGATAAAATAATCAGCTTCTAACCAAACAAGAACAAAGAAAATGCCTTTGGTCTACAAGTTTTGGTAAAATGTACAATAAATTATTAAAAATATAAATGAAACAGCCTTTTCTAGTGGGCTAAGCAGCTGAAAACTCACCTGTTCAAGCTGGCTTTTGTGTGACTTTCATCACCACCCTCTCCTTATTCTGCTCTTTCTACGTATTCCACCTTTCCCCGCGATCCACTGATTTCCCTTTTTCCTATTCATTTACTCTCTCCCTTTCCCTTCCTTACATTATCATTATTTTGATCATAATTTTATTTTTTTTCTCTCATTTTAAAAACATGCTGTTGATCTTTTTTTTTTTTAAATCTTTCTTATACTATAATTTTTTTGTGTGAAGTGCCTCGTGATTTTTATCTTGAGGGGCGCTATATAAAAGATGGTTTTCTTTTCTTTCTTTCTAACTGCTACTTCATCGTTTCTCTCCGTGTTTTGTGGAGAAAACTGAAAAGCTCTGTCATTTTCAAAAGTGTATTAATAATGGGAGATCGACCATAGCCAAAGTGTGTTCTGGGGGACATTTCCAGCCAAATGATAAACGGCCTGTACTTGATCTAGTGCCTTCTATGGTTCTACAACTTCCAAAGGCGCTTTACAAAGCAACCAGCCATTCACTCACGCACACACAAATTCACACACTGGTGGTGATTAGGGATGCACCAATCAGGTTTTTTGCTGTCGATCACCGATACCGATATCAAAGAATGCTGATCACTGATACCGATCACCGATACCGATCACGTGGATTGGCCAGAAATTTTCTGCAACATTATAATGAGTGGTACAAACTACATAATCTGGGAATAAAGGAAATGTAACCTAATCTAAAATGGTCTGTATTAGGGTTGTCACGGTGATGGCCACGCAGATGTGTCATGAAATTTGAAGCATTGCTGCCTTTCACAGACACTTTTTCTGCACATGCTGCAAACAGGATAGCCATCTTCTATCAACTGTCCCTCGGCATTCTTCAAATATCCAAAACATGCCCGTACTTCCGACTTTGTCTTCTTTGATGGATAAAAAATGTCCTGAGCGCTGCCATCTCATCCTTTGGCCACTATTTCAGCTTTAGCTTCAAGAAAGTTTTGGTTGTAAACAACAAAGCGCGCTTGTGCCGCCAGCAACTTCAGCAGATGATACGGTGGCTGGCAAGGGTCATCGCGCCTACACTGCAGCCACGGTAAACCCACCGAGATAATATAGTTTTTTAAAAAACAAGACGGTTATTACTGTCAACTTTTTTTTTACCAGGGTTTACTGCTACACCGGTTACCGTGACAACCCTACCTGATCGGTCTGCTTTGATCTATTTTGAAAACTCCGATCAAAACCGATAGGGGCGCTATCGGCCGATTGGGATCAAATGCCGATCCATCGGTGCATCCCTAGTGGTGATGAGCTACAAAGTAGCAACAGCTGTCCTTTGGCACAATGACAGAAGCTAGGCTGCCACTCCAAACATCACCAACAGGCAACGCCAATTAAAGCTACAGTGGCAAATTTTGAAAACATCCATCCATTCATTTTCAGCTGCTTATCCAGAGTCGGGTAGCGGAGCTGGGACCTGAGAGCAAGGCTGTGAGGATGGGAGCAGATGATTGGCACCCATCAAACTCTGACTAATTGTAGCTACGAGCTAATGGAGCTAACTGAAGCTGGTTGGCGGAGTGCACTTTAAGCCAAAAATCCAAGTTTGAGAGACTCTGCTACCCTTTTCCTTCTAGGCTGCAACACTTTAAACGTGAGGCTGAGGCCTTCCCTCGAGCAAGCAGGAAGGCCATCTGCTACTGCTGACTGCTCATCTCCTACCTGCCAATAAAAAGGACACGCCCCTAATTATTCATAATGTAGGGCTTTCATTACACATAAACAAATGAGTTACTGGAGATTTCTCACTTCCACATTCAATTTGGGCAGGCAGAGTTTGTTACACACTCCAACATTTAGCAACAGAACACCACTGGTGTGAGAAGCTGCTACCACTTCAACTGTAGGACAAACTACTAGTCACAAAAAGAAAAACACTATTTGAAGTCACAGACAATGAGAAAAACGTGCAACTGGTGTTTTGTACTCTGTTTGCTTTGATGATGTGCGTTCCTCATATCAGGGAACATGGCCTAAGGATGATAATTGTCAGGAGGGGTGAGAGCTCTGCGACTGTGTTTCAAAGCTAGCTTGTGTTGCACATTTGCCATTGCAGCTTTAGGAACCTTCACGACCAGGTAGAACAGGGCCTGATGGTTGTTCCATGATAGGAGCTGAAATCGAGAGGGGGGTGTGCATTTACGGTCTAGGGTCTGATGCTGTGGAATGAATTCCCAGCAGGTGTCAAACAGGATGTGTTGCTCAATGTTTATGAAAGTCACCTGGCCTTCAGGTACAGTGAGAAGTGACGGTTTCCTTTAAAGTTCCTTTTATTCAATCTTACCTATTATCTACTTTATGTCTCAGTGATGTACAGCACTTTGGTCATCCATATGGTTGTGTGAAAGACGGTCTGTTACTTTTTTGTCTTGAATAAAGTTTGAACTGATGGTTATAAGAAACTTTGTCAAGTCACCATTTTCTGAAAAAAAGAAGACCAGGACATTTAAGACGTATTCAGACTTCATGAAAATCATGCTCCCAAACAGCACACCTTTAATGGCCTCATTTATAAAAGTGAAGCTCATAAACCAGGAGTCAGAACCACGGCGTGGTAACCGGCGGTATCAGACGCAGAGGCTGTAAACAGTGATGCAACGCCTCTCACAGCTGCTGTACTGAACAAAGCCCGCTCTCTTTCTCCCTCCCCGCCTCTCACCTCTGTACTTCTTCTCCATGTCCGTCACCAGCACGGCCAGGTAGCTGTGGCTGGCCGACAGCAGGGCTTTGATCCAGCTCTCCTGGCTCGTCTGGTCCTCAGCAGCAAACTTGTAAGTCCTCAGGCCCGGCTCGCTCCACACCAGGGAGAAGGCAAAGTGCTCCTCGGACTCGCACAGCTGGACGGTGCAGCCCTCCAGGACAATCACCCCTACCACGTCCCTGTCCGCCGGGCGGTCCTTGTAGAACAGGAGATTCCCCTTCAGCACAAACCAGCGCCTCTGATAGGAAGTCTTTATCTCGCCCTGTGAACAGAACCTGTTGTTTATGCACTCAACCACTCTGGGCTGTGAGGCAATAACTGGTTTAATAGGAAGTTAAACGTCTATTTATGCAATTGTGCTTAAATGATCACACTTCTGCTCCACTTTGCATGCAATGTATTTCACATGTTTTAATCAGCTGTTGTGTTGTAACACCTCAGAGACATCTGAGATGTACATTTTGACTCTTTTCTTACCTTTTTAGAGAGGTACCCCTGCTTGTCCACAGGTGAACTGCTAGATTCAAAGTAGCTGATCAATTTTTCATTAATCTTCATCTCAACATTGCTGGCTGCTCAAAACACAACCTGCCAAATATCACACACACACGCGCGCGCGCGCGCGCACACACACACACACACACGTAGGTTTAACATACTTCCTTATTTATTGTTTGAACACTACATTTATATCCTTTCATAGAGATTATAACGTCTTTTCCGTGTTGCACAGGTAAAACATCCCACCATTGTTTAAATTTACAGGAGTTTTTACTGGAGTAAAGTTTATCGTCTTTACCAGGAAATAAAACTTTTTTACTGTATGTTGTTGGGCTCGTGCCAACCTCACCGCCATCATTAAATAAACCTGCTGGTTGTTTTTGTCTCAGAAAACATGAAGTCCGTCAGAAAGAAAAACACCCAGATTGCAAAATTAGGAAGCGAGCAAGTTTCCCCAAAATAGATATATGTGGTTCTCCTTTACTCACCTTTCCTGAGCATGTTGCAGTTTCCTCCGTGTGTGTGTGTGAGCAGCTTCCTGGTACGGTAGGTGAGGAGGGGTGTGGCCACGTGATTAAAATTCAGCTTTAAACTAATCCAAACAAGCTAGTATTCGTACTAGCACACTTGTTTTAACCTAAAACAGTTACTCTTGTTTAAATTTAAATGGGTTTACATTTATTTTTATAAAAAATATTAACACTGTTTAATGTAAATGTCTGGCGTCATGTTTTGCATACTGTTTTATTATAACTGGATAGGGTGTTTATTTATTACTCAAATGCAGTTGTACTTGTAAGAAAATGACACATTAAAAAGCATTAAAATAACTTCAGGTTTATTGAACCTTTCAGGTTTTGAAGTCTGTTATCGTTCTTGTAACACACCTTGAATTTTTTTTTAGCCTAAAACATTTTTCATGCCTCTACCAATTAACTGTAAATATATTGTGGAGATTAAAAAACAAACGAAAAAAATTGTGGAGTTCTCTCACATTAACCCTCCCACTGTCCTAATGGGTGTGACCCCACGATGAAAGTTGACCATTGAGCAGGTTTGATGGTTTATCCCTTGGGTCCATGTGGCAAGGGTGAGGAGTGAGCACCACCTCACCCCTGCCACGTGGACCACAAGGGATAAACCATCAATCCTGCTCAATGGTCAACTTTCCTCGTGGGGTCACTCATAAAGACAGTGGGAGGGTTAAAGAACTGCACCAATAACACGTTTTGGACCGAAAGCAACATGAACAGAGAGATGCAGAGCTCCAGGAGCTTCTCTCCGATCACCTGACTGTTCATTTGGACTGTGGAGGATAGACCTTTAGGAGTGGCTTGTCCAAAAAACAATAATAAATGAGCACGGCTTCAATCACAACAAAAAACAAGTTATGTCCGAGATAAACGGAAGTCTCTGGCAGCCCAGAGATCTCCCCCATACCCCCTACCGTCATGGTGAGGTACACGATTGTGTAACCTTACCTCCACGCCACGGTCAGACCATATATAAAAGACCTAAGGCTCACTGATGCCGACTCAACATTGCAGCAAATTGGTGGCATTGTTTTTTTTTTAAAGAGGCTACAGTCTCCAACTCCCCACAGTCAGTTTTCATCCGGGTGATTCGCTATTAAAAACAACTCACCCCACAGAAAACTGAGGCTCAGCCTCAACCGAGTCAAGACCACAGAGTCCCTCCTCTCACAAGCAGCACCACCCCCGCATCCCAGGAGGACTGCCACAATCCTATGGCCACACAGCTGATTTCAGAGTAATACTCTGGTGGTCCAAATGCCAGCTCCAACCCCACGTCAGCCTCCCCCAGAGCAACCTCAGCCACAGTGTCCATCCCAACCCCCACATGAGCTGGCATCCAAACAAAACGAATCTCACAGATTACAGTAGACCCATCCAATAAGGCGGCCCAGCCACTATGGCAGCTCTACTAGGCAGCACCAGTCCACGTCTACATATTTGATGTCTGTGCCCAAGGGGAGGTGTTCTGTGATTGTGTTTGTGTTCATAACCTAGCTTGTTAGCAGATTTGCTGTAACAGCTTTAGGTGAAAATGCTAATCTAATTTGAATGCTACTATACAGTTGCTGTATGATATACAAATCTTTAAAGCCTTATCCCACCCACCAGCATTTTTTTAACTTATTTATTTTGATTTTGTTTATTTACTTATGTTTTTGGAGGATAAAGCCTCTTGAGATGTGGCATCTCGTTTTCGAGAGAGTCCTCCAGCCATACAACACGCGAAAACAAAAGAAAGACATCAAGCAGCAGATCAAAAAATAAAGAAATAAACATTGAATTACTGGATAAAATTAAATTATGGTTTAAAAACATAAATTAATAAATGCAATGAGAACAAAACATGAAAAATACCTAAATAAGGTAGCCTATCTCACACACTTTCAAGCTTTCAACGAAAATCACTTAGAAGCAGTTGCAAATGGGTAATACATAAAAATAAACAGTATTCCGAAAATGTGTAAAAGAAGTGATTGACCGTATGTTAACAGGTAAATTGTTCCAGTCGTGGAGCTTTTACACTAAAAGAAAATCTTCCATCTTCTTTTTCAAATTTAGGTTCATTAAATCTTGTGATGTGCTGACAAGTAGAGCACACCAGGTATCATTTTAAAGACACTGTAAAATAAAAAACATATATACATGTAAAAATAAAAATTAACCAGCGAAATCTTCGCATGGCTTTTAATGAAAGCCATGGCAAGCTTTCATACATACTGCAGTGGTGTGTTGTGTGACAGCGCAAAACAAAATGACAACTACTATTTAAAACTACATCAAGAGGATGGAGACAGGATGCAGTAGTGTTTTGATATATTACATCTGCATAATCTTAATGATTGATTGAATGAGTCTTAAAGGTTAAATGATAATGATAAATGACCCGCACTTGTATAGCGGGTCATTTATAGAGTAAGGACTCCAAAGCGCTTTTACACTACAGTGTATCATTCATCCATTCACACACACATTCACACACTGATGGTGATGAGCTACGATGTAGCCACAGCTGCTCTGGGGCACACTGACAGAGGCGAGGCTGCCGTGCACAGGCGCCACCGGTCCCTCTGACCACCACCAGCAGTGGGTTAAGTGTCTTGCCCAAGGACACAACAGCAGAATTCTCTGTCCGGAGCCGGGATCAAACCTGCAACCTTCCGATTACTGGACAACCCGCTCAACCTGTTGAGCTACTGCTGCCCAATAAATCAGACTCAAGCCAGACACCAAGATATTTACAGTTTTTTTTTCAGTCACTAACAAGTGTTTGTCCAACCAGTTGTCATTTTTTCAAAACTCTAAATACAAGTAGCACAACATTGGCATTTTATGGCCATACAATTCACACATTTCATGTCGTTTTCACACAATATGCAGTCAGTCAACAGATTTCCATAATGTTCACATTGTCTCAACAAAGAAGCTATTCCTCCCAACAAAACTATGGATTGTTTTAGTGGTATTTGCAAATGTTAACACACAACATCCCACAATAGCAAAAACAACAGTCCTAACCTTAAATGCAGTATAAAAACCTCTGCTTCTGCAATGATGAGTTCAAGAACAATATATCTCAGTTGATAATAAACAAACAACAGAATAATTTACACACAGCTGATGTATGTTGGGTAAATTGGGCCTACCACAGCCGATTACATTCAGGCTTAGACTCAGTGGAAGGAGTTCTTTTTCTGTTACAATGACAAATAAAGGGAGGACTTTGAGGTGTCAAGTATTTGGAAACAGAAACAGAAAAAACAAGCACTGCGATGTCTGGATGAGGAAGAGTATGGGTCACTTGAAGTATAAATAAGACCACACAGTAATGCATTTTTCCCTCTAAAGAATGCAACATCTTCCACCCTCTGAGGGAAGAGGAAAGCTCCTCAGTAATGATCAAGAACTTGCCATTGTGGAAATGGTTGTTGCAAATAATGCAATAAAACTGCATGAAATTCAGGCTAAAATGGTGGAGGACCATGAGATATCTGACTATACTGATAGCATCAGCTTGACAACCATTACACGGACAATGTCCAAACACAGAGTGCGGTTGAAGCAGCTCTACACTGTTCCGTTTGAGAGGAACAGTGACAGAGTCATGGAGCTACAATGACTCCAGATGTAGTGTCTATCCTTTTCTCATCTCCATAGAGAAGTTATTTGCTGCGTGGAGGTGGAAGGTTTATGACCATCAGCCACATGACCACATGTCCCTCCTGGAAGCTATGGATGCTGGCTGCAGGGGCGTCACGGTTGATGATTGCCAAGGATGGATCCGACATAGCAAGCAGTTTTATCCCAGTTGCATTGCTTTGGATGACATGAGACGTGATGTTGATGAAAACATGTGGCCTAACCCTGAAGATCACAGATTAGCTACAGTAATTTTGTGTGTTTTGTAGTTGCCTCCTTTTATCTGGGCTTTGTGCTATTTTTTTGTTCGGATTGCTTTTGTTTATTTCATTGATATTTTGTTCACTACAAGCAACACTGTAGAACTTTTTCTGTTCTGTCATACTGTAAACATTAATTCTGCTGTACCTCCTGAAATAAACAGTAAAGGAAAAACAGGATTAGCTTTTTGCTTTGAAATGTGCACATCATATGTGGACATACAGTTCACAACCGAGAAATGTCGTGTAAAAACGGTGGATTACATGCTTTACCTCTAAAACTGAAACATAAAACTCTATGTGGTTTTTGTAATGTCAACAATCGCCAGTATTTTGAAACCTGTTGTACTTTGATTGACTGACTGTATCTTGTGAAGTGAAAACAAGTTCTACGTTTTGACAGAATAATTTCACTTTGAGTCAGATGTCCAGTGTTTGGGTAAAGATAGTCTGTGCAGAGAAAGACGTGTTCTATTTTGAAATGAAGAGTTAATATATGTTTATCAAAATGTGTTTTTGAGAAGAAAATTCTCCATTTGGCAATTGTGTTTTGGAGGATTGAATCTGTGTTGAGAGTTTAGAACAAGTATCTGACGTGTGGGTGAGAGCTTGTTAGCGATAGAAAAAAAAACTGTAACTTTATCAGCACTTTTTGCTTGTGAATAGTCTTGATAGGTTAAGTTTAAAGGTCAAGTGGCAGAGCATACAGATAGACGTTTTTGAAAAAGTACAGAGTATGATTTGATTTTGTTTAGAATAAGCTTATTATGGACTAACCAATGTTGTAAGGTATTGAAATTGGATTGAAGGCACTAAGCTATTTCAGATGTGCTGGGCATAGCACAACATAAAATAGTATCATCCGCATACATATGAATAGAACAAGTGGGACAGCAAAGGGGAAGGTCATTAATAAAAACTGAAAATAGCAAAGGCCCAAGAGAGGAGCCTTGAGGGACACCCCTGGAGCTAGCATGTAGCTGTGACTGCGCTCCTTTCAATGAGCTAGGAAGACATTCGAAGGGTCAAAGTTCAAATGGAACCATGTTAACTTTTTGAGGAAATCATTTAACGTTTCTTTGAAAGGGAAAACAGTAACACAAAATTCTATTGTTTTGTTAAAAAGTAAAAAAAAAATATCCTCCATAGACACAAGGAACATCAGGAACAGATAAACAATTTCCCTCTGGGATTAATAAAGTATTTTTGAATTGAATTGAAGCCTGAAACATCAGCAGCATTCATGAATACAACAGAACAAAGTGAGTCAAGAGTGAAAAATAAAAAAGCTACAGATAATTGTGGGTTACTTTAGATTTTAGACCATCTATGTGAAGGAATATGTGAATGCGCATAAAAACTGGTGTATTTCAAAATGCTAGCAGATAGAATTTTTCATTAAACGGGTAAAATGAAAACTAACATTTGATTTTCTCGTCTAGTGGTATTAATACTGATGTTATATTGGAATGGGTACATCACAATGACCTGCCATACTTTCCAGTTTAAAACTTCCACGGTTGCATTTTCAGATTCATTAGAGCAAGGATCACCAACCTGGTGTCCCCAGGAAGTACAAAAGGTGCCCACAAGCCTCTTCTCCAAATAGCACAAGTCTATGATAAAAGAAACATTCTGCTGGCATCGTCTTTAATAACAAATGCATTCATATTGATAAAAAATCTACTATTTTTTAACACATTAAACATGCATAAGAAGTTTAGTTTAATTCTAATCTATTTTATTTCAAATATATCGCCCTGGTTGCCCTTCATGTGGCTCCATGAAGTAGCTCTCAGCTTCACAAAGGTTGGTGCATCAGAGGTTCTGACCGAAACAAACTCAAACCTGTTTTCAGAAAATCTCATTCTCTTTTTTTAACTCGTCTAGGTCTCGATGTACAATTTTAAGGACAGAGGTTAATAATTACTGCATGTTAGGTCCCTTCTGAGAAAATCATTAAAAACTGATGTTAAAGTCTAAAGGTGCAGGAGTTATGCAGCCCTTACATTAGTCAGCCCAGATATATTGTGAGGTAAATATTACACACGTTGACAGGATGCGTGTAAGTTGAGCCCAGTGATAAGGTCGTGCAGCCAGACCTGTCACGACTTCAGTTAACCGATCGGTGATGCTAACCGGCATGCTGAAATTCTTTGGCATGAAAAGCATTCACTGAACCATTTGTGTTTATAGGTTAATTTATTACTTCTGCTTCTATGACTATCTACTAACATTCAGGCTGTAAAATGTTGCTTTTTAAAGTAATCATGCGGCTTAAATTTAGACATTTTTAACCAGCGACCAAGAAGTCAGTCCAACAGTACCTATAAAGTAATTAAACTCTTTAATAAGTACTCTGAAGCTTCTCTTTTACCACCAAATAACACACCTGGTTCTCGTGTTCACATCAGTGCTGGTTGGGAACCAGTTAGCCAAAATAAAGTGAATGTTTGACAGTCTGTTTACTCTTTGTTTAATTCATTAAAAATCAGAGGCTGAAACTAGAAACCAACCATCACTGCTGTAGAAGAACTCTGTTACTGACAACGGGATAAATCACATCTGTAGTTGGTAGCATTTATCACAAAGAATAGTTAAAAACAAAAATCGGCCAATAAATTAATACTCTGAATTACAATTCTTTCTTCTGTCCCTGAAATTTGCTCACTGATTTATTTTAGCCATTTAATTACACCCCATGATAGTGTCTGCAAAAAAGAAAGTTACACAAATACTAAAGAATAAGGGTGACAGCCCAGTTTTATGGAAGTGCATCTCTGTAAGGAGCCTCTGTGTTTGTAGGTTTATTGACAAACATGATTGTGACACTTTCTGCAAAGAGCATATAAATCCACGTAAAAGAGTTAAAGACTAAATTCACTTGTTTTTTCAACCAATTTGCAGTGATCTCTATTATGAATGAATGCCTTGCGAGTTGTTCTCCATGGGAATAAAGCTTTGGCATTCCTGTCTTAGGAATTAGAATTGAGCTAGAGGAGAGGGGAGCAGAAGACAGCAGGATCTGGATTTCCTGATATTTGGACATCTCGTCTCTGATTGTTTAACAGTAATGCGACCCTACCGCTGCATCTGTTTGCTTTGCAACACTGACCTAACAAAACCTGTAGGAGATGTGCTGTGTTGTAGAGTTGCTAAGGCTAACAGTTAGCTTCTACTAGCCAAGACGTTCCCTGCCGTTTCCTGGATGCTAAACCAACAACAGCCGTCCCCGTCATCAGCCAACATGGGTGAGTCCATGAAAGCCAATTTAAAATGTGACAGATCAGAAGGTTTTTCTAATCCTAGCATTTCAGTTTATTTTCTATCGGCGGATATGCTGGAGAAAGGGGCAAAAGACTATTTTCATGTTCAACATGCTTGTTAAACTCAAAGTGACCCAGTTATATATTTTTAAAGTAAAAACGACTCATCAGTAAACTTCATGTTTAAGTCTGTAGTTCACACACTCTGAAGTTTACATGGGAAAAATCTGCAAGTGTCTCCTAAAACACCAAGACAAATAAAAAATGACCCCTCCACGATAAAGTGTTGTGACTGGATTAGACACAAAAGCCTACTGCAGGTCTCTCCATGCTCGCTGTAACTGCAGTCTCTCTCCAATGTGGATCCTCTGATGTCTTTTGAGATTCTCCCCTCGACTAAAGTTCTTCCCACACTGGCTGCAGCTGTATGGCTTCTCCCCCGTGTGAACTCTCTTGTGCTTCTTCAGGTCCCCTGCCTGACTGAAACGCCTGCCACACTGCACGCAGCCATACGGCTTCTCCCCAGTGTGACACCGCTGGTGTATTCTCAGGTTCCCCACCCGGCTGAAGGTTTTCCCGCACACAGCACAGAAGTGCAAGTCGTCTCTCCCCGGATTCTGCGTCCTGATTTGTTGTCCGTCACATGTGACCCCGTTGGTTTTTGAGCCACCCTGACTTCCGTGTACATCAGGATTAGAACTGACAAATAAAGGTTCAGCACTGACTTTTGGCTGGCGGGTGTCAGAGGTGTGAGGAAAAGAGCTGGAGCTTAAATCCACACCTCTGGAGCTTTGTTCCTGAGCTGACTCCTCAGATGTTGTGCTCGCTGACTGTTCACTTTCTCTTTTGATGGCAGCTAATGATAGGAGGGAGCTGGGGTAAGAGGTGCACACACTGTTGGATGACACCGTCCTCATGTCTCTGTGAAAAGACAGGAACATGTGGACAGTTTCAGCATCCTGACATGATTTAGTTTCTGGCTGTGCTTTGAAACGGTCTCCTCCTGAATGAGTATCCACGTGTCGTTCTCTCAATTCCTGCTTCATCCCATCATGGTTACTTTCATCACTGATCACAGTGGTCACATGGACATTTAGATTATGGGTCTGACACAAGCTTGAGTCCTGAGTTTGATCACCATCTTTAGGTGATGGCTCAACTGGAGGCAAAACATCTACAAATGTTTGAGACAAAGAGAAGAGAACATTTAATCTGATGCCAATTCTCAAATGATTTTCCTTAATGTTGGATTTAAATATGTCATGAAAACAAGTTAACCCACCTGCATTTTCTCTGGGTATCCTTTCCTGAAGCTCACACACTCTTCTTTTCAGACTATCGTTTTCTCGTTGTGTTCGGACAACTTTTTGCTGGTACTCCATCACCGTCTCCTTCACCACCTCCAGAACCTCCTGCACCGCTTCAGTCAACAGTTTGGACACACGGGCATTCAACCGTTCCAGTTTAGACATCCTGAAAACAAAACCAACTTAATAAAAGTGTTGTTTAAATACTTGGTATAGGTTTTTACTTCCACGTCATATCAATCCTAGAAGTGTTTCTGCTCTGTCCTGCTTTGGGATTACCACCAGGCCTGTAGGTCTCCACTACAGTAATAGAAGCAGACACGTATATGTGACTGGCCCGTTTGTGAGCAGTTTGAATCATGCTTACAAATGACAAGTTTCAGTCCCGTGCTTTAAGGTATCAGTTGTTGTGAAACTGTAAAGAGAAGAAAGGCTCTTACTGCAATCAGGGAAAACCCTTCATGTTTTTAAAAGGGATAAATGAGAATGGGACGAAGAGATTATTGTCACATGTAGCAGAAGTCTCTTCTGAGAACAGTAACATGATCTTTCTTTGGACAGCAAATACAGATGGTTTGATTTACATAAACATAAAAAAAACAAAAACATCTAGTTCTACCAATCACCGACCTAAGGTTCAGTGTTTTCATACTCAAACATGTAAAACATCTTCAAGAAATAAAATCCTCCAACTTTTTATCCTAATAGGATTTTAATTTCCAATGATTGTGTTTAAAAACAGGAAGTGTCTCGCAGACATAGCCATTATAAAATTAATGTTAACAGTTTTAGATTGAATGGTTTGGTGTGTTTTCCCCCCACAAAGAACAAGAATATTTACTTCTTTATGGATATTAAATAAAATTCACAAATGAGATCAGAGAAAACATGTTACTATCTGAAAGGGGTGTATAAATTGTCCGAGAACACAATAATAATAATAATAATAATAACAAATCTTAATCGTACAAACACTGATAACTTTGTTATAAAACATCGTATGCTACTAGATAGTTATTTCTCATCTAGGTTAAATGTTATACATAATAAACAATAAACACATTTCTGGGCACCAATAACAATATTCAATACAAACTCCAACTATCGTGCCTGTAACTAGTACGTTTAAACTTGAGTCAGTCAACCGACTAAAAGTGTATAAATCTACAGAAATAATGCTTTAAAAATCAAACGTACCTTCCAGCTGTTCCAGAACTTCTTCAGTCAAACCTGGAAGCTAATGTTAGCCACATTAGCAAACTCCACACGTCAATTTTCCTTTGAACGTCATAGACGTCTAGAAGACCTGTTTTCTGTCGTCTTCCTGGCTGAAATCTTGCTTGAAACTGTTTGCTTAACTGACAATAAAGTGGTCAAATTCTAGAAATCATAAGCCAGAAGAGCCACACTAGCTTTTATACATCAGCAAAACAAACCGGCACTTCCGGATAGCTCACTCGTCAAGTACGTCTTGCAATTTTCAAAATAAAAGCCTAGACCATTTGTTTCAATTCATTTCATCCTGAATATTTTGTTACGTTTGCAAAATTGCTCCTAAATATCCTCATAAATTCACAAAAAATTTGTAGATCAACTTCAGTGAATTTTAAAACACCATGTGTGTGAAATATGTGAACTCCACATTAACATTCAGGTTGTAAATGGAAATTATTGTGTTGCAGTGATTCCTTAAAATTATAAAAATATAAAGTTGCTTATTAAATATGAAGCTTGTGCTAAGATTTTTGGAAAAGTGAATTTTACATGTAGCTCAGCGCGACATCGCCATCTAGTAGTCACCATGATGAACTACCTTACAGCTATTCGGCTGAAGTCTGCATTATTGGTCTTTATAAAACTAAACAAATAAATAAACTGCCGAGACTTCCAGTTTTGAAGAATTTATGTCACAACACATTTTTTCAAGTTAATATTCTATTTCCACCCCAGTCTTACTTTTGATCATTTATGAGGTAAATTACCTCAACAGGCTATTGATAAGTTACTTAGATATGCACCATGCATTGTCAATGAAGCAAATGACTCAATTTACACAAACATAAAAGGTGTTTGAGGTCTGATTACAAACTTAAACCTCTTCTTTACAAAAATGAAATAAATTAGGCTGCTATAGGACTAGAACAAATGGCAGAGAGAATGTTCCCACAACAGTAAAGCTTTGGCATTAGGTCCTTTTCACCTGACATTTTAAAGCGAGGGGAAAAGGCTTTGTTCGTGAAGGTAAAACGGCAGTTTCGTCTGGATTCATGGCTCAGGCTGTTCTTCTCGAGTTGTTTCTTCAAACAGACCGAGCAAGTTCTTTGGTTCAAAGTTAGATCGGGGTACTGACTCTTCTGTTCTGATCCAGTTACGACTCAGCCGGCCAGAAGACTTACTGGATGAAGAGCCTGTGTGATGCTTGGTGTGTGCGGGGCTTGTGCTGGGTGTGAGTGTGTGGCAGAAGCCATTTGAATGGATGCTGGAAGGGGTTAAAGCCAGGTTAGATGAGGGCCAGTCACCCAGGGTTGAATGCCCGGGTGTGTGAACGGGACTTCTGTGATTGCGTATCGGTGAACCGGATAGAGGAGTGGATGTGCTTTCTGCAGAGAGCCTAGAATTCACCCTGAGGAATCAAGACAAATAACATTGAAATGAAACAGCAGCAGCTACAAATTTGACTCTGACACAATCGTGAACACAATGACTCTACCTGTGTGAAAAGGTGGGAGAAAAATCGGGATCTGTGTGATGCAAAAACACAGTGTCGTCCTCAAAACTCTCGTGACTGGTGTGCATACTACTGAGGGACAGTGTTACATCTCTGTCCCAGCTGTCTTTAGGGGGGGTGCTGGGCACTGGTTTGTTCCATCGAGGGAGGAAGGACAAAGGTAATGAGGACAGCAGTCTGCATCCGAAGCACACCACCATCTTCAGAGAAAAACAAAACAAAAAAGCAATCACTAAACAGAATTTATTTCCCTAACTTTATTATTTGACAAAAATATTAATAAAAAGTTTACTGGGAGCATTACTTGACACATGGAGACCAAAGTCAGCATGGCTTCAGCAACCATGAGATAAACACGCCGTTTCCATCTATGTCTCCTCACAGAGGGGAGGGCCAGAAGCTCAAAGACCGTGGGTCTCTCAGATGGTTCAGGGGTCAGCATCATCCGGAGGACTGACTGTAGCTCAACAGACAGGCCTGCAAACACAACTCAAAAAAGCCAAAACGTTGTTTTGGACACTGTTGTTTATAAAAATAATTGCACAGAATAAAATGGGGTCTCACCGTTGGTAAACTCAGAGGGAAGATGACCCTGTCTGAGCTGCTGCCAGCCCTCACCACCGTTTGGAACCTCGATATTACAAGCCAGCTCAAGAATAGAAACACCCAAACTAAACAAAAAAACGTTAAGACCTAGAACACTAAAAACAAGGGTAAAATACCAAACTTTGGCAATGCACACCTAAAAACGTCAGCAGCAGGGCCATATTCTCCACGGAGCAGCTCAGGGGCCATGTATCTAGGATCACCTTCTTGAACATCCTCTTTTACTTTGTCCTCTGTGCGCTCCGTAATCGTCTGCTTGACCTCCATCAGAAGCCCAAAGTCCCCCAACTTCAGACGGCCAGAGTCAGTGATGAGGACATTAGCAGGCTTAAGGTCCAGATGCACAAAACCATGAGAGTGTAAGTGTTGCAGAGCAGAGAGGAGGTCACACAGGTATGCCCAGGCAGCAGGCTCATCTGGATTGATGGGTTAAAAATATCAAAACAGTCAGTATATCTGGAGATTTGAGACCGTAATTACTCAAGCATGACATTTTAATAGAAGATTTATAGTACAACCTGGTCCAGGGGGCTTGCTCTCAGCATGGAGCAGCAAACTAGTGCTGCACAGTTCTGTCTGGATGTAGAGTCGGCCACTCTCCTCCCACGCAGCCACAAAGTTCAGGATGTGTGAATGAGGACAAAGGTGCTCGTGGTTCCTGGCCTCCTTCACACTTCGATCTCTGTCGCTGTTTCCTCTGAAGCGATAAGCAGAGCGCTTCACAGCGTAAAGACGCCCGTTCTTGTTGCTTTGCACCTAACAAGTACAGAAAAATGCTAAGTCTATACAATTTTTGCCGTGGTCTAACTTTTCTACAACCTTTTCACTCTGCATGCATGCCCATCTTTTCCGTGCTCACCTTAAAGACCTCTCCAAAAGATCCTTTTCCCAAGATGCCCAAATTAGTAAAACACTGACTGAAATAGGACCCATTTTTACTGGGATCATAGGCAGAATTACTGAGAGACTTAGACAGTGGTGTCCATGGTGATGAATGCTGAGCAAATATCCTGCTCAGAGGGGGACAACCCTTGGATGGTGGCAGTGGAGGGTGAGAATAGGAGTGTCGAACTGGGGAAGAGCAGGAGGAGTTGGACACAGATGACGAGGAAAAGGGGAGCTTGCGCTTTTTCAGGGAGAAGGACTGCTCTGCTTGGTGGAAATGGGTTGGGAGAGGGAGAGACACCCTGGATGCTGTTGTTTCCACGGCGACTGACATCATTTAAGTATTTCTTCAGCTCAGTTCTGTGGAGAAGGCGACCTGCAACATTCAGAACAAAACCTTGAACTGGGTTAGATTTGAAAGGTTTTGGCTGACACACAAACATTAAATTGAAATAATTAATTGCATTTAAATGATCAGACAACATAAAAGTATGAACCAGTAATGTAGATGCCATGTCCACTGACATTTGTAAACAGATTTTTTTAGACGAGTAAACAAGTGAGCAAAACAAAGTTTACAGGCTGTTTATCATTTATTCTAATTTGACATCTTGAATATCTTGTTTAACGGGAATATTTACTGACATATGTTGCCCTTGGTGCAATGATGTCAGCCTCTGTAGTTGATCTTCAGGTCTTACTAGTCTGAAAGGTCTTACGAGTCTGAAAAGCCTGTAAACAACAATGAGCCACCAAACAACAAAAAAGCTATTCAGGATCAGGAACACATCTAACACCATTTATAATCTGAAAAAAAAAACAAGAGGCATGACGTAAGCACAATTGACACTGCCACAAAGGGCACAAAACTAATACCACAATAAATATCATGTAAACAACTATAAACTGTCCGGAAAAGGGTATAAATGATGCAAACCCCGACTCGAACGCAACAGTTACCAACCCAAAAGAACTTGAGGTAGGCGGGCCCTATTTTATATAAACACATCGTCAGTCTACAGCTGTAATAATTTCAGTAAATTGTCCAACAGTAGCAATGTCCTAAAATAACATCTGACAGTATAAAAGCAGCACCGTCATTCAAAATTAGCTGAAATTTACAACTGCCAGTCTGTTAAAAACATTTTAGCTAGCAATGCGGAATAACAACAACCAAAACACGTCGCCAGCTAACTACAGACACATGTACGTTCTCCAAGGCAGAAATAATAATGTTGAAAACCAACCATAATCCACTTCTAACGTCTCTTTTCCAAAAATAATGGCCAAATCTGCGCGTGCACACACCAGGCTTGTCAGCTCGCGCCAAATTGTGAAAACAGTACGCAAAGCTGCGTAGCTACGCTCCATGAATGCGTCGTGCGTACGTTCATTGCGCAACATCCGCGAGCGGTGCAGTCTGGGGGTTCTGCCGCACAGGGCTGGCGATACTGATCTCTGAAATGGTAACTTTATTCAACATGTATTAATATGTGCGATTCGGGTTCTTGGTAGGAACATCGGATTAGGCTTTTGAGGTTCATGAAAAGATTTTGACGAGTTAGAACGTAATTTCACTTTGTTTTTGTTAGCCAGCTAAGCTAAATCGACTAGCTCCCCTGCTGTAAAGAAAGGTGAAGATGTTTCTTAGCTTCGTTAATCCTAAAAGAGATCTGAGTTTAGCCACTTAACTAACTTGATTACATCTTCAGGTCAGCTAAAAGCGCACTGCTATCATCGCAGGTCAGCTATTTCGTTTGTTTAGGCTCGTTTTAATACTCAGTGCTGATTTAGCGCTAGCTCTTAGCTAAATCTGTGTTCTATTTGCTTGGTGGTATTTATTATCACATCACATCCTAACGTTACTTGCTTTCTTGTAATAAAACGTTAGGACTAGTTTGTTTACCCCTTTTGTTAACAGTGGAAACGCGTAAGTAAATAGAAAACACTCTGGCAGCCAAAATGTATATATTTGAAATTAAGGTCCTCGTCACTGCTACTTATTTTGTTTTTGGTTGCTTTATAAAATGTTTATCTGGCCTTATTACACCTCTACATTTTAAGAACTTTCTATCGCTTCTGCTTTTGCATAATTAATAATAAATTTCTGCCAAATGTTGGCCCTAATCTGAGAATACACTCGGATGCCTATTTGATTTTTATTCTCTTAATATTAAGCACCACAGTGTAACTTGGTGATTTAATTTACGCAGCATCCATTGACCAGGTCAGCCGTCTACTCATCTGCTTGTTTCTGGTTCCAGAATAGACAATGTATTCTGCCTTCACTTTTTAACATCACGTCACAGTTTATTCATTAGTTCTTAACCAAAAATAATATATAATTGTTTGCTTGTCATCTTCTAGGATGTGTTCCTAATGATCCGGCGTCATAAGACGACAATCTTCACAGATGCAAAGGAATCTACCACTGTGTACGAGCTGAAGCGTATTGTTGAAGGTATACTTAAGAGACCACCAGAGGACCAGCGGCTCTACAAAGTAAGTTTAGAGTGGTAAAGTATCAACAACCCACACGTGCGTATGTTGGTGTGGCAGATTTTACAGATCTTTTACAGTGTTGATTTATTTTCCTACATTTTCACATAATTTAGGATTTTTTTTTTACTGTTCCTAACATCTTCATATTTCGGTCTACAGGATGATCAGTTACTAGAGGACAGTAAAACCCTGGGGGACTGTGGGTTCACCAGTCAGACTGCCAGACCTCAAGCACCAGCTACAGTTGGTCTGGCTTTCCGTGTAAATGGTAAGTCTTGTGTGTAGTCAGCTTAGTGGCCAAGTGATAGTGTGTCTACCCTGGGACTGGGAGATCAGGGTTCAAAACTGGACTGTTCATACCAAAGACTTTAACAAATGGGGCTCAGGGCCTCCCTGCTTGATACAGCATTAAGGGATTCAATTGGGGGGTTAAACCACCAAATAGTTCCTGAGCGCAGCCACAGTTGCAGCTCGCTGGTCCCCAAAGGGGATGGGTCAAATGCGGAGATGGATTTCACCAGTGTGTGATGATGGTTATGGGACTTTAACTGTATTTAAAACACTGCCTGGGCCAAAAAAAGTCACCACCAAAAAAATAAAAGTTCACACTCTTATAATTTGTTGGACCGCCCTTAATTTTGATTATAGCACGCCTTTGCTGTGGCATTGTTTCGATGAGCTTCTGCAATGTCACCAGATTCATTTCCATCCAATGTTGCATTAATGTTTCACCAAGATCTTGCATTGATGATGGTAGAGTTTGACCGCTGCACAAAGTCTTCTCCAGCTCATCCCAAAGATTCTCAACGGGGTTAAGGTCTGGACTCTGTGGTGGCCAATCCATGTGTGAAAATGATGTCTCATGCTCCCTAAAGCACTCTTTCCCATGCCATCAGGAAAGAAAAACTCCATTGATGGAGTTACCTGGTCATTCAGTAAATTCAGGTAGTCAGCTGACCTCATTCTTGGAGCACATCGTGTTGCTGAACCTTGACCTGACCAACTGCAACAATCCCAGATCATAGCGCTGCCCCCACAGGCTTGTACAGTAGGCACTAGGCATGATAGGTGCAGGTTAAGATTAAGATTAGATTCCACAGAGAAGGAGGCCTAAGATTTCACCTTTCCCCTTTCCAGCACTTACAATGCAACTTTGCACCAGATTCCAAAACACTTTCAGTCCAGGTCACACCCTCCTGCATCTAATCAAAAGAACTATCCCCACACAACAGAGCAGGGGTCGCGAGCTACCAGTAACCCCCTACCCACTTGCTTGCCCGGAAGCTAGCTAGCCATCGTGCCTGGCTTTTAAATTTGATGGCAAGCCATTCTCAGTTTCCATAATATCTAACCTAAAATTAGCATTTTGTGGAAGTAAAATAAAAATCTCATTGTTGCACAAATCTTTTGGCAAACGTGTGCAAGTCTGTACTGGAAATACGCAGATCCATTGCAGGGGTTGCAGCAAGGATCTCTACTTCTGTCAACTTTGATGTCAGGGGCTGGAGCGGGGATGAAGACGCGCTTCTAAACAGGGTCACGTTGGTTATACAGACCTGGTTTGGGTTTAAGGAGTCTGATTGACCATTAAAAATGACCGTTATTTACACTGAACAAAAATATAAATGCAACACTTTTGTTTTTGCTCTAATTTTTCATGAGCTGAACTCAAACATCTGAAACTTTTTCTGCAAACACTAAACACCCATGACTCAAATATTGTTCTGAAATCTGTCTACATGTGTGTTAGTGAGCACTTTTCCTTTACCAAGATAATCCCTCCCACCTCACAGGTGTGACATATCAAGGGGTTGATTAGACAACATGAATAATGTACAGATGTGCCTTAGACGGCCCACAATAAAAGACCACCCAGAAATGTGCAGTTTGATCAAACGGCACCATGCCACAAATGCCACAACCTTTGAGGGAGCATGCTGTCGGCATGCTGACTGCAGGAATGTCTACTATAAGCCGTCTCCAAAGACGTTTCAGAGACTTTGGCAGTACATCCAACCGGCCTCACAACCACAGAGCACATGTGACCACACCAGCCCAGGACCTTCACATCCAGCATGTTCACCTCCAGGATTGCCTGACACCAGCCACCCGGACAGCTGCAGCAACAACCCTAACGGTTTGCATAACCAGAGAATTTCTGCACAAACTGTTAGCAACCATCTCAGGGAAGCTCATCTGCATGCTCTTCGTCCTCATCGGGGTCTGGACCTAACTGCAGTCCGTTGTCATAACCGACTTGAGTTGGCAAACACTCACATTCAATGACATTTGGCACATTGGAGAAGCGTTCTGTTCACAGTTGAGTCCCGATTTTCACTGTTTAGGGCAGATGGCAGACTGCATGTGTGGCATCGTGTGGGTGAGCGGTTTGCTGATGTCAACGTTGTGGAACGAGTGGCCCATGGTGGCGTTGGGGTACTGGTACGGGCAGGCATATGTTATGGACAATGAACATTTTGAATGCACAGAGGTATCGTGACGAGATCCTGGGACCCATTGTTGTGCCATTCATCCATGACCATCACCTCATGTTGCAGCATGATAACACATGGCCCCATATTGCAAGGATCTGTACACAATTCCTGGAAGCTGAAAACGTCCCAGTTCTTGCATAGCCAGCATACTCACCAGACATGTCACCCATTGAGCATGTTTGGGATGCTCTGGATCTGCGAATACAAAAGTGTGTTCCAGTTTCTGCCAGTATTCAGCAACTTCACACAGCTATTGAAGATGAGTGGTCCATCTTTCCACAGGCCACAATCAACAACCTGATCAACTCTGTGATGGAGATGTGTTGCCCTGTATGAGACAAATAGTGGCCACACCAGATTCTGACATGTTTTCTGCCCCACCACCCCCTATAAAGCAAAACTGTGCATATGCCTTTTATTGTGGGCAGTCTACGGCACACCTGTACATTATTCTTGCTGTCTAGTCAGCCCCTTGATATGCCACACCTGTGAGGTGGGATGGATAATCTTGGTAAAGGAAAAGTGCTGACTAACACACATGTAGACAGATTCAGAGTCATGGGTCTTTTGTGTATGTAGACAAATTTTCAGATGTTTGAGTTCAGCTCATGAAAAATTTGAACAAAAACAAAAGTGTTGCGTTTATATTTTTTTGTTCAGTGTAGTGTGTTGGTTTAAAATGGGCTTTTATAGAAAAATCATAGAAAATGGCACAAACAAGACAAAGTGAGCCTCTGAAGCTCAATGGCCATCAGTCAACAGGGCCCTGGATCTCCTCATGCATTAGTTTTTATCCTTAGCTTGGCCCTCTTCATTTGGTGTCATGGTACATTTCTATTGGATCAGTACATGGAATTGGGTAGAGGTCAGTGTGTGTCACAAATTTAATCCTAAAAGAACAAGATATGAAAATCACGGGTTTTGCTGTATCTAGTCTGACTGTGTAAAGAACAAACACTCCATACTTTCTGTACTGGACAGATAAATAATGGAGACGTGACCTAAGCCATGCCCCAGATCAACTAAATTATCCAATAGACTCCCTGAAGAGGTAACAAATTGTAGCTCTCCCAGAAGACCTCTTGGATAATTGGACTAGCCCAGAGCTATTCCCAGGACCATAGCATTGCCCCTGCCACTAACAGTGTACCTGAAGAAGTGATGTTGTAGTGCAGAGTCTAAGCCTAAAGATCTATATATGCATTTGGCCTCCTTCCAGCTGTCATCTTAGTTTGACATGCCCTCCCCCAACAGGTTGTTGCCATATCTCTGGTAGACATGGCCCCAGAGCCCCTCCCCGCACGCTCCTGGGATGTTTGCATGTCAGGTGTAAACTAAGCAGTGAAAATAGAAAAACTAACCTATATCTGTGAAAGGAAAGGAAGAGAACACTAAGAGGGTCCAAAGTCTGAGAAATGTTGATGATGAAGAAGAAGAAGACAAAACCAGAACAAACTCAAGATTCTTATCTGATGCCATGAGAATATAATTTCTAACTTGCACTAATGCGGTACCTTTGACATTTGAACCGATACTGTGCCAATTCCCGGTACCTACAAATCGATACGGTACTTAACGGTACCAATTTTTGATACTTTTGAGTGTTTAATAATTATTTAAATCACTTTTTTAATTATATATATATATATATATATATATATATATATATATATATATATATATATATATTATTTTTCCTATATATAACCATATTTGATAAATATCATGATACAACTGTTTGTATTTTTTCATCGTAGTGTTGTAAAAAATTCTTCATTATGAAAACCTTTAACAACAACTGTTTCTAAATTATGCAAAAACAAACCCGGCTCCATGTACTCCTAATCCTCTTCTATGCCCTCTGGAATAACTCTGATGAGGAGACCATATATTATAAACTACCAATCAGTGTTTCCCTTACATAGGCGTGGCCATGGCGGCCCGCCGTCTAAGGCACACCTGAAATCCCAGCACCACGCCTACAAGATCCCGTTTTATAGATTTAAAAAAAATTTTTTTTTACGCTGTTTCCCGAAGAAGCAGCAGGAACTACTCTGTTGTTGCTTGTGATCACAGCTGGCAGGCATCAAGGAGGAGGAGGCAGGGTAGGGTGGTTACAGCTAGGGATGAGCCGGATACTTGTTTCAGACGAGTATCCGGTACGGATAAAGCATTTTTGACGAATACGAGCATGAAACGAGTAAAACTTGTTAATATCTGTAATCGTGCTGAAGGAAAATCCTCATTGGGTAACTGACTGCCTTCACGCTCTGTGATTGGCCAGTCACATAGAGCGCCCGCTCCTCTAGCTCAGTTCGGCCCACGCACACACACAGACAGTAACGGATCTCTCTGTGCTTGCTTCACTGTTGCTCACATTTCTTCAGTACTCCCTAGGTTTTCTTCAGCTCGCCTCTTTTTCGGTTGAATATTTAAAGTTAGTTTTTTTGTTGCGTACGTGGTGCATTTGACAAGACAGAGCTGAAAACGGCTTGTGCATGCGTCGGTCACTGCCTCCACTCCGGTCGGGTTTTTTAAAATTATTTTCTCTCTCTCTCTCTCTCTCTCTCTCTCTCTCTCTCACTCACTCACTCACTCACTCACTCACTCACTCACTCACACACATTAATCAACATTGTTTTGTTTAACTGTGTGTGGGAAAAATGCAAACAACGTTAGGAAAAAATCAGTTTAATCAAATTAAAATGAAATAAAAAGTTGTGTCTGGTTCTAGCATTGCATATTTCCTAGTTCCTACTGCATGAGTTCAGATGTATTAATTCATGCACTTAAATATTAATGTTCTGATTTTATTGAGACACTTGTTCTGTAATAGTTCCTTTACTATTGTGATCAAAAATATTTAATCTCAATTCTGAGGCTGCGCTGTAAATAGTTTTCAAATAAACAATACACATAGCAACTTCTGATCATTCCATATCAATTTCAGGTTTAAAATATTGTATTGATGTAAACCACACTCACTAATTTCTAAATAATAAATAATAGGTGCATTCATCTGTGTATGTCCTTTAATCTGCATTAGTGATATTTTCAGCACCACAACAATGAAGCAAAGAAACAGATTCCTGAGTTTGTTAGTAATTTTATTTATTAGGTGCATCTGACCTGTTCTATTTTTCTCTGAATGAGATCAAATCAGTGCTTCTACGGGTTGTCTCCCCTCTGCACTAGAAATATTTACTTTAATATAATGTTCACTGTAATGCATCTTGATGTCCTTAACAAATAAATTAAATCAAATATATTGTACAATAATGCCAAATATGTCAATTTGTGTTTCAATCATTTTTATACTAGCTTAAAAATACTTCATTAAGTCTTATAAGCAGGGGTGTAGAAGGTTTTTAACAGGGCCAGCCCAGTAATGATCTTGGACCAAAATAAAGGGAGCAGAAAGTCAAATAAAGGGGGGCAGAAGGAGATGTTTTTCCAAACGCCAAGAAAAATTAAATGCCAAATCCCCCCTGCAAAGTGTGTCACTGAGAGTTTAAAACAAAAATTATTCTTGTGCAAATATTGGTGTATTCACCTTTAATACTAGTTATTAAAATACAGCAGTTGCTGGATTAATGCAGTTCAGAGTGGAGTGCATCAAATAAAACAATATTAACATAAAGGTGAGACGTGTCATAACCCCCCAACGGAGACGGAGAAGTATAAACTAGGCTAACGCTATTAAGGCTATTGGCTACTGCTTACCAGCTCTTGATTCAAACTGCATGGCGCTCTACTTGACGGGAGCAGGCTTAGCAAAAAAAAAAAAAAAAAAAAAAAGTTTGACGTATTGCCTACATTATATCACAGTACAGGGTAAGATGCTCTCTTTTACAGATTTTTGAAGGATCATACATGCTAAATGAATGGGAAAACCTCCAGATAGCTTCTTTAAGCAGTGACTTGAGAAATCCTGCTCCCATTTCCTGTTTTCCGTGGAACTGCACACTCCTGCAGCTTTCTTAACATGATTTGTAAAGCCACTTTAAACCCTCCTATCATAGCACGACTCACGTTTCTCTCTCTTCTCTGTTTTCCAGACGAGATGTTTGAGCAGCTGCACATCGAGGCCTTCTCCAGCCCCCCAGAACTCCCAGATGTGATGAAACCGCAGGACTCTGGTAGCACTGCCAATGAGCAGGCAGTGCAGTGATGGCGAGAAGAAACTAGCAGAAGAGGGAAGGATGGGAGTGGGCGTGTGAGTGGATTAACTGCATAGAAGAAGTAGCAGGGTGGTGGCTATGTAATATAATTTTATCTGATTGACGGGGACATTAAAGGTGATCAATCTTAGCCATGGTATCAGCATCCCCTCCCCTCCCTACTATCAGATTACTTCACAGATCTTTTTTTAACACTGGTTTCCACATCACATGCAGCCCTGCTCCTTGAATTTACTCCGAAGCAACAGCCGACTCAAACTCCTGAGTGGGGATGTTGGTTTGAAAAGAGTGAGTGTGTCTAAGTGTGTGTGTGTCATTAATATCGTTAGCATTCGGGAACGGTTGGAGGAATAGTTTTGTGTCACAAGTAACATGCCTGGGTTAAGAGTTCGGTATTTGAATTAGCTAACCGCATGAACATTTTCAAAACGATGGCTATATCTCTACAGACACAGACCTGCCACTGACATGTTTACTTGGTATGTTTTTGTTGTTGTACATTTCTAATTTGAATTCATGTCTGGGGGGAGAAAAAAAATCATCTTTAATTTAATTGTGTTTGATTTTCTTCTCAGTTTGTTTCATTTGTTAGTTCTTTGTGTTTCATGCACTGAGACCAAAGGCGGGATCCTCGTGGGCAGTTTTTGGTCGGAGCACATTTTGTCTGTCACATGAAGTAAACGCGGGAGGAGAACTTGGTTGTGCTCTACTTTAGGTTTGTAAATGCTCACATCTTGTCATCAACGATATTGTGCTTCCCCTCCCCCCGCAGTCACATGACCATAGCTTGTAATGTTGAGCTCGCTTGATTAAAAATGTTTTTCCTGTGTTGTTTTTATTTGATTATTCTGCTGGCTCATGTTTCTTTTAATCACAGTTGTTTTAATATAGAGGAATAATATAGGAGTCGTAGGACGGCATTTCCTCCCCTTAAACTGTTTTAACAGAGAAGAACCTACCTCCTGTAGGGATGTAAGGATCTAGGTCTTAGATGTTTTTATAAGAAACTGATAAACCAAGCTGATCAGCAGATCTTGTAAATATACAAATATGAGCTTGTGTTGTAGTTTGCTGAATTATTTCTGAATGGTTGTGATGATGAATTTATTACTGGTATCTCCTGATATATTTTAATTCATCAAATTACCACAGAATATTTGGTAAAAACAATAAACTGCACCTTAAGTGTGCTAGATGTGATGTTGAAGGCAACAAGATAAAAAAAGGTCCAGTTTTGTTCGTATTTTGTCAAATTGTAAACAGCTTAGTAAACTGGTGCTTGACACGTGTCTTGCGCTCATGTTTTTTGCAGTAGTGGGAAAGCCAACAAAAATGTATTTAAAGGTTAGTCAGATGATGGTTAGGATGGGGTTTAAGAAGCTATTTTTATAAAAATATTTTTTCTTAAAGGTGTGGTTTACTCGTTAATTCAATACTTTAGCAGTGTTCTCTAGTGTAAGTCATTGCCTCGAGTCGTTAAAAAACAAGCTATGATGCTGCTGTTCTGAGATGCAGATGTGGGCTGAAAACAGCATTATTAGTGCTCTGCACACACATAGCTTCTGATTGGCTAACAGAATGTGTTCAGCCATGTTGCAGAGTCACTGGGCTTGTTTGAGTTGAGCAGCGCCTCGCCTGGAAAACAGACGAGAGCAGACGGACGCAGCAGGGGGAGTGGCTGAAAGTCGGCATTTAAGCCGAACAGATTTCCATACATGTGTAGCTCACGGGTGACAATGGATGAAGATATCGCGTTGGGGTTCATACTGGTGCCTGTTAGCAACCGAAACACATCCTCATGTGATTGTGGATATCATATATTGTATATGGGGATATGACTAAAATAGTAAGTAAAAAGGTTATCAGCTGTAGGTTTAGTGTGCTTATAGGAAACGTGAGAAAATATCACATTTCTCTTTATGGCCTATATTGTCATCAACGTAACATGATTTACAGAATACATGTGACCAACTAACGTTTCATGTTCTACCAGCGGATGTTTGGATCAGAATGTGAACCAATCAGATCGGGTGAGAGCCAGGCGTTTCCCGTCATCCCCTAGGTTTTGCAGCCGGTGGAGAGCAACTGCTGCGCCTTGCTCCAAAATCTGCGGCCGCCTTGATCTCACGAGGTTATCGTTGCCTACGTATGCATGACATCAGAGCAAGTCGACTTCAAGTCGGACACAAAGCTAACCGGCATGCATGGCGCGCCGATAACCGGTGATCGAATCTGCGCAGAACTGGCTTATCTCGAACACGGCCACTATCAGCAAGACACTCCCCGCTGTCTCCTCGCTGCTAATTTTTTTAACAGCCTTTCTGTGAGCGGGTGCAAGCCAAGATGAGACCATTAATGCAAATTCACAGTGTGACATCACAGTGTGAGGATTTTTCAGATCCAAGCATTTTGCAGAAGTTAACACAGGAGATAGCTGTGGAAGACTCAGTGACAGATTATATGAGAAATGAGAGTTTTTCAGGCAACCACACCTTTAAATTGTAAATACGTTGGTGTCCTTGAGGCATATAAAGGAAGACAAATAGACATATGTCTTTTTTATCTAGAACACATTTAGCTTCTTGTCCAAAATGCTTGTCCAGTGCTGAAACAGGAGCTGAGGTATCAGCCTTTGAAGTTGAAATCAGAAATTAAATCCCACTGAGATACCGAGGTGAGACGAGTCTCTGGGCCTAACCTTTATTCCTGTTTGTGTTTTTAACACTGACAATTCAAACGTCGTGGTCACATGAGTGTCTAGGTGTGAGTTTCTGTGGAGGGGGAAGACGAATCAAGGCTGCTTTGTGAGAGATGAAATCCAACTTTGAACATTTGAGGTGGCTTTGTGGCTTCCTCCCTCTCTGGTCCTGATACTTCTAACCCATGTTTCAGCACTGAATCTTTTTGGATGAGAGACGAAACATCTTCGAGATCAGAGATGTCCAGTAGCCTTCTTTTAAAGCGTTTGTGATCATTTGTTTATTTCCAAGAGTCTCTTCTGTAAATGGTGGTTTTTTTATTCATAAGAAGAAGTTTTCAGCTGTTTCTAAGTCAGCCTGAGTGATTCTGAATTATTCAGCAGATGAAAAGTGAAGCCATAAACTCCTGTTTACAGGTGCTGCCATGTCGTTTTAAGGATGAGGGAATGAAAGTTCTGCATAAACATAACAATGGTGTTTTATAAGCATCCAATAAATAATTACAGCTAAGGGGAAAACATACTATTTGAACACGAAGCAGCAAGATAGGAACCGCATTGAATATTCAGGAGTCAACATCTAGAACGGTGGTTCCCAACCTTTTTTCATGAGGAACCCATTTCCTGTCCAAGACGAGCCAGGACCCCCAGCTCCTACCCACAGTTAAAAAGATTCATTACAAACTTTACACACACAGAGTTGTAGCTGTTATACAGATTTTTAAACACATTATTGGGGGTGTCATTGGATTTCATATATGTAATTTTTACAAATACAATCTAACCTAACAACCCCATGTGGGTCCCCATCAGGGGGTCACAGACCCCACGTTGAGAACTGATCTAGAAGAACCTAAAGGAAATGTATTTGTTGAGAGAATGACATCCCCATCTGTTTACAGACTTGAATCCTCTTCATGCCACTAGGGGGCGCTATACTTGTTAGAGCTACGTACAACTCACAGTACATGCTCCATTCAGATGTCTGATGCACCAGAATGAAGAGGAAATCGAATGTAAGTTACTTTATGATAGGATTTGTACAAATATCCATCTCTATGGTAACAGAGAAGGGTTGAGTTGGGTGGAAGGCAATATATTGTTGATATCTGAAGTAAGAGGTCAGGACAAGCTGGCTCTAGATTACAGAAACATAACAGCAGCAAATAACCATGTCCAACCATGTCTGCAGAACAATGTCTTTGGACCACAACAGGGACACACATTTTCTGCTAAAATTACTGAAACCATCTTGTGTGTGTGTATACATATATATATATATATATATATATATATATATATATATATATATATATTGCTCCTGAAAATAGAGTTTTAGGTATAATACTGCAGCTAAATAAATTACTCTTGCTTAACTGATACAGAGTATTTACTAAAGGTGTCCTAAACAAAACAGTATTGTGCTGTGTCTCGCCTTGCGCTATTCAGATTTGTAGCACACATTTAATTTACTGGTTGAGGTCATGAACGCACCATCTCAAGATCCAAACTTGCCTGAATTAGGGAATCTCTTGACATACAAACATCTATTTCTTTGCGCCAACAAACTCAAGTCCTAAATTGTGGATAACAGACCTCCTGTTGGTCAACTGCAGAGTTGGATACTGTAACCTTGGTCTTTTCCCCTGCATATTAAATCCAGTAATTAATTTGTACAGAGATGTGTTTGGAACAGGTAAAGCAACTTTGGCTAAATATTCATCTTAACCCGCCAACACGTGTCACTAAATTTAGGATTGGTATCAAATTCCATCGACTCATTTTTTTTTCAGCCCAAGGGCATTAAATCTGCATCACATAACTTTGAGAGTTATTTTGGTGTATTTCAGAGGTATTCAATTCTGGACCTGGAGGGCCAGTATCCAGCTTGTTTCAGTGGTTTCTCTGCTCCAGCACACTTCATTCGGTGGTCGAAACACCTGTGCAGCAGCTCATCAGGCTCTGCAGAAGCCTGCCAATCATCTGCTGATTTAAATCAGGTGTGTTGAAGCAGGGTTGAAATTAAAATGTGCCGGATTTGGAATACCCCTGTTTACTTCATATGCCTAGCCTCACAGCTCATTTAACGCTCCTGCAGTGTGTGCGTGTGTGTGTGTGTGTGTGTGTGTGTGTGTGTGTGTGTGTGTGTGTGTGTGTGTGTGTGTGTGTGTGTGTGTGTGTGTGTGTGTGTGTGTGTGTGAGACACCTGAGCCTAGTTTAAACCCCACAGCCTACCTGAGTATTGTTGCTGCCCATGTCCACCCCTTTGTGACCACATGGACCCATCTTCTGATGCTACTTTCAGCAGGACAATTCTCTGTGTCACAAACCTCAGATCATCTCTCCTGATTTCTACAGCGATGAGTTCCCTGAACTTCAAAGACCTCCACAGTCACCAGATCTCAGTCCAGTCCAGAATCTTTGGGATGTGGTGGATTCTCATATGGATGTGGCTGTGTGATGATGTCACGTCAGTCTGAACCACCAGAACCTCTGACTAATGTTGCCAACTCCTTGTTGGATCCATGAGTTAAAGAATTGAGATTTCTGGGGCAAAATAGGGTCCCAACCAGTACTAATGAAGAATGGTGAGTGTACACCGTCCTAAACACCCACCCTGTGGTACACACCTGGTCTCACCCATTAAATAATTCTCTAGTTTAGTAAAATCTATCAATATTTGATTTTTTTTATCTCAGCCCTCACTGTTTATATTGAGAATAATACTCAAACGTAACAGATTTAAAATAAAAGTTATCCTCTTGTTATCCAGAATGCAACGCATCATCACGTGATCCCAAGCCCTATGTCTCTTAAATCCGCCTCCCTCTGGACCGTCCCGTGAAGGACTCTAAATGTTTTAATACTTGCTCAACTCCACTAATCCATCATCGCTGCAGCAGCGGTCTCTCTGCTGAACTCACATCCTCAGAATCCTTAATTTTCTCTCCCAAATATGGAGCAGGAATGTCCACCGTGACGTCGTGCGTCAGGGGGGGATGCGGGGTTGTAACCACATAACTACGCCCTCTCCGGTCTGAAGTCCTGGTAGGCATTACACAGGAAGAGAGTTGGGAAAAAGAAACCTCCCCCTCCTCCTCCTCCTCCTCCCCCTCGTCTTGGCGGATAACGGTGTCCAAGAAGTTATTGAGGAGCGACGCCGACGAAAGCCTGTCTGTCTGTCCGCCCGGACCCCAGCGCTCATTGATGCTTTCCTCTTCAGGTCCGAGAGAGGAAATCCGTCTGCTGTGATCCCATCATGGAGGATCTGGGTGAGTAAAACATCTGTTCTTCGCTCCATCTGCGGTCAAGGGATCAGTGGGAAGGGGCGGTGCGCCCCAACAGGAGGAAACGGGCTCTGTTGCTCCCGGTTGTTCCTCAGAGATCAGCACAAAGGAAAATCAGGAATAAAGAGTAGTTTCATTCAATAACAGGAGTTCACACAGCATGCAGATCCATCAGCCTGCTTGTTTGGGGTTTTATTGTTATTTGTGCAGAAATTGGACGACCCCCCCCCCCCCCCCACACACACACACACACACACACACACGCACACACATTTATTACTGTACATCTGACTGACCACCACTGAGTTTTATTCACGCACAGCCTGCAAATCCAACGCGTTGCAAATTAATTATCTTCATCAAAAACAATTCCTAGATACATACTGTTTATTGTCAGTATGGATTTTTCCTCTAATTAATACAGAAAAGGGAAAAAATGAGAAGCTGAATCTTTCTGTGTTACCGTGGCCGTGTTAGAAAGGCCCTGAAATAGCCCAAAGCAAACGCTGCTATTTGAGAAAAACCACAGAGTTCAAGGAAAATGGAAGACTTTTTACTCTGCTGCCCAGTCATTTTCTCTCTTTTCATATTTATAAAGTCCAGTTCAGAACAGAAAGGAATACAAGGACAAATGGCAAGATTTGGCCGACCACATCTGGGCACATCTGGATTGAATAGCAAGGAGTTTGGTGACTGGGTTGTATGGGGTCCAAGTTAAAAGTAAAAATCCTCTTAATTATGAATTATGTTAATAATTAATATTTCAGCCTGCAACATAAATTTAAAATGTTTATTTAGGAGTAAACATTTAAAGCTGCAGGTTGAAATGAAAAAAGTTATAAAAGTAGTCGTTTTTAAGGATTAATAGGCCAGTATGTAAGTTCAGACGAAAATGTACCAAAATAAGAGCGGGTGAAAAGATGTCATGCTGTGATTAGACTGAATTCATAAACCCATGAATTATTTGTCAATGTTCCTGTATGAGTTTCCCATGGAAACTGAGAAATAGACCCACACAGTTTAACGATCTGTTTAAAAGTTTAACCCTTTTAGAAGTAACACAAATCAGCGTATTATTGCCGCCACGGTGTGTTGTATGAATGCGCGGTGGCAGCATGGCGTTATGCCACCACGTTTGGTAGTAATATTACCAGAACGCAGGACTTGTGAATGCATATTACGCCTTAGAGGTGTCATGATCAGGTGGGGAGTTACTGCCGAGCTCTGGCCCTAAGTTTTGCTCTTGTAAACAGAATCAGCTGAGTTGATAAACTGGAGTGATGTGGAGCTCCAGGAGCTTCTCTCCGTTAAAGCTAGAGCTCAACTCACCAGAGACTGCACAGGGACTGTGGAGGACAGCCTTTCTTGGGAGTGGCTTGGTAAAAAAATGTAAGGATCATGGCTTCAGTCGCAATCAAAAGTAAGTTATGTCCAAGATAAACTGAAGTCCGTGGCAGCACAGAGACCGCCCCATACCCCCTTTATACCGCCATCACTTTATGTGTTGTAAAAAGGACACAATTGTGCCACATTACCACCACAGTCAGACCACTTATAAATGACGGAAGGCTCCTTGATGCCAGCATGGCATTGCGGCTAATTGACGGCATTGTTTTCTAAAGGAGGCTAGGGTCGCCACACCTTGTTTTTGTTGTTGTTGTTGTTTGTTTTCAGGTTAACTTGTTTTGTTACTTGTCTGAATTTGCATGTTAGTTTATATAAAGGTGAAAACCCACAAATTAAAATGTAGTTTTCAAAATTTTTATTTAGATTCATACAATAACATTTGATTCTGAATTAAACGTAAAATATTTAGATTAAATTCTACTTATTCAGATCTTATTCTGACTATTCAGATTGAACTTTGAATTTGAAGATGCATTTTGAGAACTATTACTGTTCATTTTTTAACGTATTGCTTTTACAGTCAGTGCCCCATAGATTTGTGCTGTTGTTGAACAGAAAGTTTGAAGCTTTTCAGTGAGCGAGGCCACTTGTTAGAGAGGCTCTTTTGGCCAAGACAAACAATTTAGCAGGCAGCTCTAAATATGGTCATGATTGCTATTAAGAGACGTTCAGCTCCTTATATGTGCAGTCCGTGTGTGTGTGTGTGTGTGTGTGTGTGTGTTTAAGACACGGAGACACAGCAGACAGGAGGGCATGCCGTTGTAGACTCTCAACACAGGGTCGTACCACAAGTGTGAATCATCAGGAGAAGAGATGACCGCAGAGCTCGTGGAAGACTGCTTGGATTCAGTTCCGTCTCTTGACATGAATTAGAAAACCATCTCCACAGGAGAGAAAGTGTGGTTGGTTAAAGTTACTTCATAACATCAGACCGAATCAGAGAAGCAGGGCTTTGAAAAAGAATCGGGAGTGCAGTTTTCAGGCCCAAGCTTGAGGAGAGAAACTGAAATGTAAATATCTGCTGTTCCGTCTCACAGCAAAGGATCGATGTGCGGTCATCAGATCAATTATTTCAAATGAGATGTTGTTCCTGCCGTTTTCAAGGTGTAAATTTGGTCTCTTCTTTGTTTTCATTTAAAATTAGACAGCTGTAGATGAAAAAAACTCAGATGAAGTGATTGGTTTGGTGTTAAAACCAGATGTAGAAACGTAAAGCTCTGCAGTGTAGTCTCATTTATTTAACGTACAAGGGCGTGAAACACCTTATAAAAGTTGTTACAATCTTCAAAGGACTTTTCTTATTTCACCTTTACCTGACTACTATTGACAACTTCCTAACGATTGTTCTCCTGTGGTCTGTCAGACGGTTGTTTTATTTGGCTCGGCAGAAGTGCCGTAGAACAAATTCACGTATAAATGTTTTACTTCATCTGAAGATAACAGAAAGGCACCAAATAAACGTGGACGCCTGCAGACTTTAGACAAGCTCGTCCCTTCTGCTGACGAAAGTCTTTTTACAAACGACATGCCTGGGATCCCTTTAAATGTAGGTCACATTGGAAAGAAAAATCTGTGGCTGCATAACTAATACATGTGATGGAGATGTAATCTAGACTTTTAAAGGTGCAGAAATAATAATTATTTAGTCTAATTCTGAACATTAATTTAAAATATCTTATCTGGCTTAGAATTTTTTTGGAACATCTGCTTAAAACGGACCTGTGGTATTACATTTTTGTTTTTAAAGTATTGTATAACAGTTTATGTAATCACACATTCATGTTGCTCATCATTAAAAAAACAGTTCACCTCTGGGTTTTCTTTGCATAAAATAATTATTTAATGTCTTTTAACGACCGTTTTGCTGGCTGAAGCTCAGCACTTTGACGAATCGTTTGATTTGCTGGAATCTTCTGTGCTCTCGTTGTTGTTGTCCTGCATGCAGCATGAACACTTTCCCACTTTTTTCAAAAACAATTCAGAAGATGCTGCTTGAGCATTTCCTGATCTATTATCCTTCAGTCAAAGAAGGAAAGTTTCTTTGATCCACAAACCACAATACCACCTCTACCGTGTGTCTGTGATAATGAGATAAGATCGTGTTCTTGATCCCAAAAAATAAAAGGCTTTTGGGTTCACCCACTCTGCTTTGTCTCTCGGCTGCATGTGGAGTCAGAGCTAATAGATGTCACCCAGCTGCAGAGACTAACACTTGAGTTCCTGGTCCTCTGAATGAGTGTGGGGGCGGCTGGTGGAGTGAGTTTGGATATCAGTTTCCAAACACTCTTCCTCCTCTGTTTCCTCCACGCTCTGCCATGTAGTGGATATAAAAGCAGAGATGAATGCATGTAGTTGGATTCCTGCCCGCTCTCCTTTCTGGCTGAATAATGTCTTGTTGTTTTTCATGTCATCTGCAGTGTCTGGGCTGACTTTCTGCAGCTGTATTTGTCACACAGGCTGTCTGTCTCTCCTCAGGTGTGCCTGAGCCACCTAACTACCCTCTCAGTCCTCGTATTGTTGTGTTTGGTACGTAACTGGATGCATGTTCCATCGTCCCTGCTTCTGATTCACTGGTTCCTGTGCTTCACCCAGACGTTTAGATGGTTTTTTGAATAAATGTCCTTGTTAGTGACTATAAATGTAGAAAATCAATATCTAATGGTTAGTTATCTTTAAATCCAATCACAAATCAAACTAAACTGCGGTTTAAACACTTTCCTTCTTTCAGATGCCCTTCTTGCTGATCTGGAGAACACCAGCTCTCCTCTACCACAGTGTCCTGTCTTGTTGACCTCTGACCCTCCACAAAATGCTGATGCCCCCTCCCAGGACCCGGCTCAGGCTCGACCACCACCTCCAGCCTATACACCACAGCAGGTAGATGCTCTGGGATGCATGAGCTGACTTAGGCCCTGTCCACACGTAGCCGGGGATCTGCCAAAACGTAGATATTTTTCTACGTTTTGGTCTGTCATCCACATGAAAACGGATTTTTTTCACACGAAAACTGATCTTTTTTAAAACTCTGGCCAAAGTGAAGATCTGCGTTTTCTCCGTTTTGGGTGTCTGCGTGTGGACAGACAAAATCGGAGTTTTAAGGTCCGCAACGTCACTTTCCGTGACAAAAAAATGCTGACATCACGTGTGCGACCTGTGTTTACACTAGCCGACATCATGGATGCCCTCAGAGCTGCGCTTGCTTTATCAATTGTCCAAGCGCTTTTTGCTTGTTTGTTTTTGCAAGCGGAATTACTGCTCCTTGTGGAAGACCACAGATGAAGGACGAGGTTAAGAACGGGGGAAGTACTGCCGCCTACAGGTCTAGCATGTTCTTAACAACGTATTTATCCGGGTACGTGTGGACAGAGTTTTTGTTTTAAACGAGGTGGTGTGGATGCAAGTTTTTGGAGGGGCGGATATTCGTTTAAAAAAAAACGGCTACGTGTGGACTAGGCCTTAGGTTTCTAAGTTTTATCAGTACTATACCATAATCTGTTTTTCTACCTCAGACTGTTTCTGCTGCTATGAAGTCCTCACAGAACTCCCATCCAGACAAACTATACAGGTAAAATATGTTGTTAAAGCCACAGTCTGTAATATTTTTACTTGTTTACCATTACATTCTGTGTATCCTGTTCACCAACTTGTCCGTTTTCCTTCATATTTCTCACCAGCATCTCATCTAAATATTTCTATTAGCCTGAAATTATACATTTATAATATACATAAACTGTGGTAGACACTCCATCGTCATGCGCCATCTTGAAATACCGTAACTGTTTAGGAACTTTCAAGGTATAATGCTCTGCATTTCACATCTTTGCTTTGCTTTTATCTCACATTTAAGTCGTATCAAAGATGTTTGAGAAAATATTTTGTGGACTCATGAGACCAAAGTAGACAATTCTGGAAGGTCTTTGTCACATGACATCTGGAGAAAAACTAATTCTGTCTTTTAGGGAAAAAAAACCCATCACGTCAACAGTCAAACATGGCGGTGGCAGTGTGATGGTCCGCAGATAGTGTCAGGTTTGATCTTGGAATGAACTGAGAGAGACAGGAACGCTGGTTCGTTTCTTAAAGGGAAACACGAATGTACAGGCGTTACAAGAAGAGTAAGAAGCTGTCTTACTGGTCAGATGACTGAAAGGTTGATGAGCGATGAAGCTCTGAACTTGTGGCATGGAGTAGATGAATCGATGACTGAGTGAGGAGTGGATGAGTTGACATCCGTCTATAGCGGAGCGTGATGGTAAATGGCCTGTATTTGATATAACGCCTTCTAGAGTCCTGGAACCCCCCAAGGCGCTTTACAACACAATCAGTCATTCACCCATCTGTTTGGATCGCTGGCTGTAATGCACATAACACACAAGCTTGCAATATAAAGCAGGACAACACCTGTCCCCCTCCAGCTCGGCTGTGTGACTGCACTAACCTGTCCTGTGTGACCCTCACCATGTAACCCTCATGTCCATGCTGTCTCTGGAGGAGCAGATAGGAGACAAGATCTCCTGTAACTTAAAATGAACCAAAGCTTCCTCCCAGTTTCTCTTTAAGCTGAATTTAACATCAGTTAATCATCATGAAACAAAAGAATAAAGTGGAACAAGAACTTCTATGCAAACTCCATGCAGAAAGATCCCTGGCCGGGAAGCGGACCCAGGACCTTCTTGCTGCAAGGCAACAGCTCTGCCAGCAGATGTGTTTCGCCTCTTTTTCTTAGAGTATGCAGTTTGTCCAAACCTGCCAGCAGCTGTCACTAATGGTTGCTGCAGAAGCACCTAGGCAGCATCTCAGCTCTGGAGAGAACTTTGACACTTGTATTTCCAGAACTTGGTGCTCCTTTCCTTCCAATTTGCAGCTCAGGATGTGCTGACTCAGTTTCATTCATCCCACAGCACCGTGTGCAAGCCGCGCTCCCCTCGCACGGCAGACCCTCCTCCTGCCTTCTCTTCCTCCTCGCTGCTGGGTGGAGGTCTGAACGAGCTGGATCACCTGCTACAGGAGCTCAATGCCACACAGTTCAACATCACAGGTGTGTGAGTGGCAGCCCTAGTTTCAGCTTCCGTGTTTGGTTTGATTGTGTTCTTTTTGTCATCAGATGAGATTCTGGCCCAGTTTCCTTCTTCTAAGAAAGATGAGAGGGACAAGATCAAGGAGAAGGCCTTGTCCTCCAGGTACCTTTTCCAGACACCTTAGTCTTATGCGATTTAGTTATTTAAAAACAGGAAGGCTGTTTACGGTAGACTTAGGTATCAAGATTAGATCAAACTTTCTGTTTTATTATTAAATGTGTGTGTGTGTGTGTGTGTGTGTGTGTGTGTGTGTGTGTGTGTGTGTGTGTGTGTGTGTGTGTGTGTGTGTGTGTGTGTGTGTGTGTGTGCGCGCTTCAGCTCTGCAAAGCCCTCAGCAACATCAGCCACCATGGAGCTGGACAAATTGATGGCGTCTCTGTCTGACTTCAGGGTCCAGAGTACAGTAAGTTACCCATCCTGGTGTGGTGGTTTTAGGAAAGCATGAGACTGACACTAACGTTTAACAAAAGAAGAAGTTAAGTAATAATTATAATATTTGATGTGAAGTTAAAGTGTTACGTCAGTTTCTTCATATGATGTTACGAGGCTTTTAGCCACAGCTGACATCTTCTGATGAAAATACAAAAGAGCTTTAGTCCTGTTGGGAGTTAGAAAATAACTATCAGAAGTCATTTGACATTTGTTTTATTTTGTAGGATTGGTTTGTTTTTAAGTTTTCATTTGTTTAATTTCCTTTTTCTTGGCTGATAATGCCCCAAAACTCCCAGAAAGGTCTAGAAATTGGAAATGGGCTTGGGATTTGAGTAAATACATATTTATTTTAAATCTACTATTTTTCACCCAGACGTCAAAGCCTCCATCTGCAGAGACCGGCGTGGCTCTTTAATGCAGTTTTAGTACACGAGTGCCTTCGTTTTGTTTTCTTCCAGCCAAGTTCTCCAGTCAGTCCAGTGGTGACTGAGTCGCAGCAACCACCCACTGTCCCACAGCAGCTGTCCAATGTCACATCACAGCAACCCACATCTGGAGGCTCACTGGACAGCATGCTGGGTCTTCTCCAATCAGATTTGAGCCGACAAGGCGTTCAAACCTCCTCCAAAGGAAACTGTTCAGCCTGTCAAAAGCCAGTTGTAGGACAGGTGAGCGTGTCCCCACCTACACTGTCCACTGATGTCCCTCTCCAGCTGATATGTCTGTTTGCCTGTGCAGGTGGTGACGGCTCTGGGGAAGGTGTGGCACCCGGAGCACTTTGTGTGCACCGAGTGTGAGACGGAGTTGGGCAGTCGCAACTTCTTTGAGAAAGACGGGCGGCCGTACTGCGAGCCGGACTACTTCGCCCTGTTCTCCCCTCACTGCGCTCACTGCAGTAAACCCATACTGAACGTGAGACACTCAGACAAGACGTTGTCTCTCTCTGATGGACTAGTATCTTCTTCTGATCTCCACTTCTTTGCTGTTTTTGATGTTTAGAAAATGGTCACTGCCCTCGACAAGAACTGGCACCCCGAGTGCTTCTGCTGCATAAAGTGCAGCCGAACTTTTGGAGACGAAGGTAACATGAGATTGGTAATCCACCGGTGGAACAAAGATAAAGATCATGCAGAACCTCAGACAGTTTTGTTCTACTGAAACTACAATTGAAATCTCAAGCTGTTGTGTGTTGTTTTGTTTTCGTTTATCTCTGCAGGTTTCCATGACCGTGAGGGCCTGCAGTACTGTCAGCAATGCTTCTTGACTCTGTTTGCCTCTCGCTGCCAAGGCTGCAACCAGCCGATTCTGGAAAACTACATCTCAGCTCTGAACTCCCTCTGGCACCCACAGTGCTTCGTTTGTAGGGTGAGTTTGTCGTTTATTCCGCCACCATTCATTAGGATCAGGCAGGTGGGAGATGTTTAGATTTATTTTAATCTCACTAATGGTCGAACACACCAGTATCAGCTGACGAATGTGAGAATTCTCAGGTTTCCCTTCACTGTTTTGGTGGGTAATTAAAGGTGCATTATGTAAAAATGAAATAAAAATGATATCCTGTGGTAAAATTTGGTTACTGCAACCACTTTTAACAACTCTGAAGCTTTTTGCCGGCCGTCGTTAAAGTACAGTTGTCTGTGCTGCAGTATTAGCTCGCAGGAGACACGGCACCCCCACACTCACTGATGGTAAACAGTTTTGAAAGGAGAAAAACTGACAATCTGCACAGCCAGCTTTACCCCTCCATACCACACCACTCCACACCACACCATATCAAATTTATTTATATGGCGTATGAGAGCTGATCAAAGCACCTCCCAACATAAAAACAAAAACATACAATTGCCGATATAACAGACAGAATACAGCAAACAGATAAAAAGCCGATAAAGGCAAATAAAACCAGCAAAAATAAGAAAAGATAAAAGGTATTAAATATGTTTCAGTATAACCTTCCATCTAAAATGACTGAAACATTAGACCTTTGGAATATTCTCACTAATATTCTCGCTATACTTGTACATATTGCGCCTTTAAAGGAGATGTCCGGATGATTTATTTTATCTGATGGCATCATTTAGTGGCAGACAAGCATATCACACTAAGACATTATTTTCGCTACCATATTTACAGTCGAAAGCAACACCTCTCGCTCACGAACGTGCTCCACTAGCCAACAAAACAGAGCAAAAACGCATTGTTTTACAATTTATATGCTCAAGTTATATTGTGCATTCATATGTTTATATTTTAAAGACTTAACTTGTCCATGAGAAAGTCACCAACTCTGTATCAACCGAGGTGCGTCCTTAAACCCAGTCCTGGCACATCTCCACTGACTCCCCGTCCCTTTTCGTGTACGTTTTAAGATATTGATGTTTGTTTTTAAAGCTTTACATGACCTAGCACCTCTCTATTTGTCCAACCTGCTCACCCCCTATGTACCTATGTGCATGTTGAGGTCAGCTGATCTCCTGCTTCTCTGCACTCCCCAAATGTGCAACAAAACACGGGGTGAACGTGCGTTTGCCCATGCTTCCCCCATGCTCTGGAACTCACTGCCTGTTACAGTTAGGCAGGCATCCTCTTTGGCTGTTTTCAAGTCTCGTTTAAAGACCCACTATTATGACTTCAGACATTGAGTCATTTCATTGTTTTATTGTTTTTATTGTTGTGTTTTTTCTACTGTTCTTATTGTTTTTACCTGCTATTGATGCCTTGTTTAGATCCTTATTGCTTTTGTCTTTTGCTGTTTTAATCCTGCCTGTTCAGCACTTTGGTCAGCTCTCACACTGTACTTGAAATTGTGCTATAGAAATAAAGTTGGTATGGTAAACACTTGAGCATGCTCTGTGATTGACGTCTGTAAGTAAGCAGTATTCTAACACTATTGGTTAGTGCTGACCAATGCTCAGTTCAAATTGCATGGAGCTCTATGGGACGGGGGCGGGCTTAGCAGAAAGAAAATTATGTATTTCCTACATTATATCACAGTACATGATAAGACAATCACTTCCTGAAAGGGAAAAAAACACGCCAGAGCTGTTTTTCCACAACACATTCTCACTCCCAGCGTGTCAAGAACAAACGCTTGGTCAGCCACCCTCCGCGTCAGACCCCTGATGCCAAAAGTGCCCTTTTTCATCACTTATGTGCGAAAAGGGGTTTTACCCTTTTCTGACTGCAGATCCCAATGCAGCATAAAACTGACGCGATGGGATGTCCGTAGCCAGGGCACCAAACAAGCTCATTGTACCTTACCCTAACCTTATCCTCTTGTTAGCTAACCTTCCCCTCACCCCTATCCTAACCTTAACCATCCTGCTAGCTAACACATTAGTGATGTGTCGGTCGCTCTAAAAGCCGGCTCTATGAAGTGAACGGCGGGAGCCGCCTCGTCATTGGTCGGGTTTGGACCGAGGCAACGCGAGGGGCAGGTTTCAACTACCAAGGTGGAGGTTAAAAGTAGAGGGTATTTGTAACATCCCCCTCGCCAGATGGTATGTTCCAACGTTCCCCTTGGGCGGCAAATCCGAAAATTCACAGTCAGAACGCATGGGAAACAAACGCTTGATCACAGTGAGAGTAACGTTTTAGGTAGCAAGAGGGTTAAGGTTAGGATGAGGGTGAGGGGAAGGTTATAAATAGCAAAACGTTAAGGTTTAGGTCAAATCAATCAAATCAATCAAAGATACTTTATTGGTCCCAGAGGGAAATTGGAGTTTCAGTACACACAATTCAGAGATCAGACATACATGGGCAAGACACATGACAAGAATTGGTGACTGTGGTCATTCGCAACCCTGAGTCGCGCTACCTTAATAGAGATAAGAGGGTTACATGAAGATTGGTTCAGGTGGAGGGGAAAAAAAGCACTTCAGAGTTACCCTCCACCGGGAGGGCAGCTTTGCTCTGCAAAAAAACACCTCAAACACAGATGCAACAGACTTCAGACATTACACAACATAAGTGTCCACTAGGTGGGGTGGTGGGTTGGGACTATCCCTACTTCAGTTCCTGCAGCCACGATAGAAGCAGCACAAGTCACCTCAGTGTGGATGGGGGGGGGGGGGGGGGGGGGGATTGAGCGTTGGAGGGTTGCAGTGACCCTGGAACGTTTCAGCGGCCTTCCCGCAGTCCCGCCCAGGCTGGGATAGGTGTGGTTAAATGAGCTGGTTCGGTGCCTCATCAGCAGACATCCCATCGCGTCAGTTTTACGCTGCATTGGAATCTGCAGGGAGAAAGGGGAAAAATCCCTTTTCGCACATAAGTGACGAAAAAGGGCACTTTTGGCGTCAGGGGTCTGACGCGGATGGTGGCTGACCAAGCCTTTGTTTTTGACGAGCTGGGAGTGAGAATGTGTTGATTTCCACTGAGATCGACTCACAAGGCATTTGATTATACAACCACTGCAAATATGTTGAAAAATAACTAGCAAACTTGGTGTTTGAAAAAGTTATGCAAAAACCTCGTAAAGTCCGAAAGCTCGACTCTAAATGAGTTCAGATGTTTTTTATTTGCTTTGTGTCTCTTTATTTCTAGCTCATGAGTCACACTTACCTTTCAGTGAAATAGGCAGAAAAAAAATTAAATAGAAAAAATAAACGAGTGTTTGTCTTTCTTCAGGAGTGCTACAGCCCCTTTGTGAATGGCAGCTTCTTTGAGCATGAGGGGAAGCCGCTCTGCGAGGCGCACTACCACCAGTCCCGCGGCACCATGTGCCAGGCCTGCCAGCAGCCCATCCTGGGCCGCTGTGTCACCGCCATGGGGGCCAAGTTCCACCCCCACCACCTTGTGTGCCACTTCTGCCTGAAGCCCTTGAGCAAAGGCTGCTTCAAGGAGCAGGAGAACAAACCCTACTGCCACCCTTGTTTCATCAAACTCTTTGGTTGAAGGCGCCCTGGAGAGTAGATCTTCCTCATCATTGGCTGTGAGGATGAGGAAGGAGCAGGGCTGTGATGGTTTTATGATGAATGTCAACAAATGAAGGACATTAAGAACAATCAAACATGTTGTTGTTTTGAACATTTGTGTTAAACACACACACACACACACACACACACACACACACACACACACACACAGAACATTACGCCCAGTCACAAAATGATGCCAAAAACTTTCTCGTGTGTAAATATTTGTGATCTTAATTCAAATTGAATAATAAAAACTGAGTTATTTTTCCAAAGAAAGAAAAGACACAAGTAGAAGTTGTTTCAGTGAAGGTGATGTTAAGAAAGTCAGCCATTTTAATATATTTGCTTTTTATTGCAACATCTATATGACTTGCTGCATTTGTATTTATATGTTTTATGCTGAAAGCTTAGATTTGTATGTAAACTGATATAAATTTAAAGCCAGATCATTAGTTATTCATTCACTGTGGCTCTATGCAAAAATAAATAAATAAATCACCTCTGAAAAAAGATCACCTCTTTTATTGTTGTGGAGTTTGATTTTAAATGTCACATTTAACTCATCATATTAAAACAACATTTTTGGTAAATATTTTAAATTTATTGAAAAAAAACTTTTTTACAGAAGTTTTAATCTACTTAAAGAAGTAAATTTGAATCCACAAAAGCAGAATAAGGATGATATTAGATTAATTTTAATAGAGGCTCGTTCTAAGGAATCTTGAACCAAATGGAACTGAAAACTTGAAAATAATTAACTGAATTACTTATTTTTGGCCATTTTATGTTCACACCAAGAAAAATAAGACATTTTAAAATATTCTTCAATTTGAGGCTCCAATTTAAAATACATAATAACAATGTGGGGTTTGTTTTCTCAGACCACTAGGGGTCACTGTTTACTTAGTTCTTGCAGCTACTGAAAATCATTTTGCATTAAAAAAATGAGAATAAAAATAAACTGGACAAAAACTGGAAAATTCCCACGGCAAGGAATGCGGCGCGTGACCTCCAGGTGAGAGGATCGCTGCGTGGCGACGTGCCCACGCCCCACACAGGTGTGCTCATTTAGAGGTTAACGAGCATCTTTTACGGTCTGATTAGAGAAAGCAGGTGACTGTTGCGTGTTCGGCGGCGTCATGTGTAGTAAGCGTTCCCCAAATCACACGATGGGTGACTCAGAACAGCAACAAGTAAGTCAGCGTCACCTCTTGGGTTACTGCGGCGGTACTACAGATGTGTCCACGTGACGCTTATCCTAAAGGGATGAGAACACTGATGTGTGTGTTCCTGTCCTGTTAGGAAGCAGAGAGAGTGTGTGATGCTCCGTGGCCTGAGAACGGAGACGACTGGAGTGATGCAGAGAATGAGACCGTTATGGACTGTGAGCTCCTGCAGGCCATGGCAGAGGAGGACGAGGACATCAACGTCTACAACGAGGAGACGTTTGGGATGGGTGCGTAGTTCTGTCTCTGTTCTTCTGGACAGATGTCAGACCAGATGTATTGGATTTCCAATCTGCTGAAACTGCTGCTCCCGAAAATGTCAATTTGTTCTCCCCAAACTTGTTTTTTCTTAGGTTTTAAGAGACTATAAAAAGTGTGTGTGTATATATAATTTGTACTTTTAATCAGCGAAAAACACCAGATGGCTCTAAATCTAGTATGGGACAGGTGGGAGATGCACAATGTGTTGTAGCAGCAGCAAAAATAGACTGTGTGGGTTTTAATACAGGTGAAACTTGAAGAATATGCCATAAAAGTTAATTTCAGTTATTAAACTTGAAAGGTGAAACTAATAAGAGATGCCTATTAAATGCAAACCCAGATATTTCAATAGCCTGGCCATGACCCATAGACAGAGCTCAGTCACGTGGGGGTTGTCTTTCAAACTGTCTCTACATGCTATTGGACAACTAACAATTTAATGTACTCACCACTACAGATGTCGGTCAACGGGGCAGTCCACCATACACTATCAAATTCTAGATAAAGGACTTAAGTACCTCTATCTGCTCTTGACTCAAAGAAATGCTCAAGTCTAAATAGTCCAAAGTTGATGTAAAAAGCTGTTTCAAATGAGCTGCCGCCATCTTGTTTCCATGCCATTGCATCATCCCACCCACCAAAAGAAAAAAAGATGATTATCTTTTCTATAGCGCTTCTCAAGATGAAAATCATGAGGCGCTTCACAAAAAAGAATTTAAAATATAATAAATAATTCACTATATTTAAAATAAAAGCTGTGATGAAGAAATGTTAAAAGGAGAGAGAAAACGATTAAGAAAAAGGGAAATCTGTGGATCCTGGGAAAAGGTGGAATAGGTAGAGCAGAATGGGAGGGTGGTGGCAAAGGTCATGAAAAAGTCAGCCTGAACAAGTGAGTTTTCAGCTGCTTTTTAAAGGAGTCTACTGATCTCAGGCTCAGGAAGAGCGAGATCCAAAGTCTGGGGGCCACAGCAGCAAATTATCTGCCACCTTCAGTCTTAAGCCTGGTGCTGCACAACCAGTAGGCTTTGGTCTCTGGACCTCAGGGACCTGCTGGGGGTGTAGGAACTGAGAGGATCACCAATGTATGATGGTGCTTGTCCATGTAAGGCCCTAAAGACCAGAACCAGGATCTTGAAATGAACCCTAAAGTTGACTGGCAGCCAGTGAAGCTGGAGGAGAAGCGGGGTGATGTGGGTGCATTTGGACGACTTGGCCAGAACCCGAGCACAGGCATTCTGAACCACCTGTAGAAGTTGAGCTGGACAGAATGGGACTCCTGTTTAGCAATGTTCCTGAGGTAAGAGCACTGATTTGCAAGACTGGACCTTGGTGTGGTATTGGTCACGGAGCCTCCAAAGACTGCTCGGGCCTGCTGAGGCTCGATTAGGGAGCCTAAGTCGCACACAGTTATATTAGGTTTTGTGTGAAGTCCAGGACTAACGCGCATACCCAAACCTTTGAACCAGACACGGAGAAAAGCTGAGGAAAAATGACTATGTTCAGCGCACTTCAAATCCTTCCCTCAGGAGGAAAGAACCACCATAAATCTGACCATGTGGTAAGTAGCAGCTATGCGAGAGGAGATTTTGTTGTTGCATCACGCGACGTACCAATGTCTGATTTGTAGTCGTGCTAATTGCGAACTGTGCAAGCTGATAAATCTCAAAGTACGTGACAGGCATGGTCGAAACACACCATTACTTTTCATTTAAATTGAGGCCTAAGGCATGCGAATTAGAAAACCAACCTTGTCTGCTGGTGAAAGACTCTTTCATATAGCGCCTCTCACGATAAAAATCAAGAGGTGCTTCACAAAAACAAAGTATAAAGATTTTTAAAATGATTGAAAATGTTTGAAAGGAGGAAAGAAAAAAATGTAAGGAAAGGGAGAGAGAAAATGAATAGGAAAGAGGGAAATCAATGGATGGTGGTGGTTGGAGGGACTGGTGGCACCTGTGCTTGGAAGCCGTGTGTGTGATGCACTGTAGTTTAAAGCGCTTTGGAGTTCTCCGACTCCGAAAGGCCCTATACAAGTGCGGGTCATTTATCATTATTGATCATTTTGCTTCTGCTGCTGTTTATAAAGAAACACTTGCAGTTTTGGCTTGCTTTTAGTACCCCTCTAGAGTCCGTTTCACTAACCGTCATAAAACCAAAACTGAAACACTCCTCCTTGCTGTGCTCCTTAAATTTAGCTGCTCAAATGTCTCCTTAACCTTCATTAGTTTCTTCAGGAGTGGTTTCATCACTGAATCAAACTAATCAGCTGTGTTTACAAGCTAAAACGTGCTGGAAGCACACCCCAGCACTAGCATGCCGGCTAGCCACGTTTCTGTTGACTAACACAGTGCCTGGTAAATATGACCAAGGTCCTGAGAAGAGGAATCATGTGACTCATCTGTGACTGAGCATTTGTTCAGCATGAAGAAATCTTATGTGGATCTTGGTGTGAGTGTATGATCAGTGACGAAACGAGACGTGATCACTACCACTTGACAAACATATTTAAAAAATAACTATAAACCCAGGAATATTAAAAACGTGTACAAACAAAATGTATTGGTTGTCTTTGGCACGCTTTTACTGTGTCTAGTTTCTAATTCTATTTTTGGTTATTTAAAACAAAGGAAAGGTTCTTTCCTCCTGAGGTAAGCATTAGAAACCTTTCCTGTGTTTTAAATTAAAAAACAAATGGTATTACAGTTGTACTTACAAGCGCGATAGGATGATCGTTAGGTCTGCATCCAATTTGATTCCTTATGTCTTTGAGCTCTTGTGATTCAGAAAACTCCTGATGTTTACTCTTGTTTGACTCCTATTGTGGGCTGACTTTTTAGAATTTTTGATAAATGTGTTAAAATAAATGCTAACCAGGTATAGCTCGTCTGTCCTGAGGTGTAGATGTGGATTGCTGGAAAGCATTGCCGCTTCACGCAAGATGCGTGACTTAAGGTAGTGTGGTATTCTGGTCACGGGGCAGAAAGGGCTAAATGACTTCATTAATCTTCTAAAGGGTCATTTTGGCACATACTAGCTTAAGAATATTATTTAAAAATGTGAAAAAATTGCATACAGTAATTAAACTTCAATCCAAACACCTGCAAAGGGTTAAATGGTATCAGTCAAAGCTGAATAATTACTGTAAAATATACTTGTACCATATTCTGACTTGGACAATGTGTAGTTTTTACCAATAATCTCTGGAAATATCCATCAAAATGTTCAAAATTAATTCAATAATGCCCAGTTGTTGATAAATATCAGCCGCATAAATATCCATGAAATATTAGCCATAAAAATCAGGTTCAAAATGCATCGACATGGGGTCTAAGTCTCTGGGTGATGCCATATTAGATGCAATGTTTTCTTCTACGCGAGCCCATGAGGACAAACTCGTGATTTGCGAATACAAAACTTTCACCATTCATAAACTTGTTTTACACATTTACCTTCACTCATTGTCAGTGATGAAAGGGATTCTGATGTGCTTTTTTTTTTTTTTTTTTGGAAGTTGAACGAGCCAAGTACTCCTTTGAAAATTGCGCTCCCAGGGTTTTTTTTACCCTAATGGCCATCTGTTGGTAAGGTCTTACTCAAACACATACTGCTTGCTTGCAATGATTTAGAAATGTACTGCCCCCTATTGCCAGGGAAAGTAATTACTCTACATTTCACCTGTTTGTGTTCATGTGATGTTTTGGATAACTTATTTTTAATGAGAATAAGAGTTACAGTTTTCTAATCCTTACACAAGCACATGTTGCTTACAAAAATGTTGCTGTAGAAATGGAAATGGTCAATATAATAAAACCAAAGATATTTTCCAAATATTTGACAGATTTCTTGGATATTTCTATCCATCCAGGATCCTTGGTTGTGGCCCTGAATTTCTGTTTTGCAGTTTAGTCAAAATGTCAAATTTGTTTTGAAGCTTCTTTATCAATTAAATCTGTCAGTCATGGTTTGTGCATCTAACAGTCAGTTACTAGAAAATGGATGTGAAAATATCCTCATACTTCGTACTCAACAGTATCCTAGCCAACCAAATATTAACGGCTTATTTGCTTAAACACTCAGATGGCACATTTCTGCATAGATGGTGTTGAAGTTATTCATATATATTTCAAGAATAAAGGTATTTTTGATTTAGAAGGGAACTGAAAACCAATCGTGCACTGGTGCAAGATGTGACTTACCTGTGATAAATAAATAAAATCACTTGGCACACAGACTTGACCTGAAAACAACTTGCCCACAACTTTCCTGCAGTTAATTTCAGGTGATTGGTAAAATATTTCATTGTTGGATTTGAGGGCAGCATTTGATGCTGTTGGACAGGTTGGAACATTGGGTTGGGCTAACTGGTCCGGCTTTTCAATGGATGAGGCCTTATCTCACACACAGGTTTCATCTACAAAAACTCCACTGAGGTAGGGGGAGGTGTGCCTCAGGGGTCAGTGTTGGGGCCCCTGTTTTCCATTTACTTTACCTGGGAGTGCTTCTGCAGAAATACAACATGAGGTATCATCTGTATGCTGATGACTGTTGGGTATATCTGCCAATCCAATGGGTTAGGAGGCAAGACTCAAGCTCTAAAGAATCGTCTTGTGAAGATGCACTTGTGGATGGTAGCTAATTACTTAAGTCTTAATGAAATAAGACAGAGGTGATTGTTTTCTTCTAGTGACCATCAGCAGAAAAGTGTGGACCCTAAATCCTGGGAACCCTTTGAAAAGACAGACCCGGACGTGAAACTGGGTGCATTTCCGTGATTACACCAAGACCCTGGAATTAACTCCCACTGGACATTAGACTAATTTGTTGCGTAGTTTTAAATCCAAGCTGGTTTTGCACTGCTGCTTGTCATCTTCTAAATTAGCCACTGTTTTTACCATATAATTTTAGTGTTTATCCTGTTTTTAAAGAGGTGAGAATTTTGGTTAAATCTTGTCCTTTTTGACTCATGTCTTATGTTTTTAATTTGCTCACTTGGTCTTACTGTGCAGCATTTAGGCTACCTTGACCAGTGGCATGGAAGTGCTCTATAAACGAAATAAAATTTGCAGGTCTGTTCACGATCTGCTGTCATCGGTTGAATTTCCACTAGTAGTTCCTGGAGGGTAGTTTATCATGGATTCAGAGGCTATTTGGATGATTTTAGATTTTATTTTCTGTCTGCAAGACTTAAATCAGCTGAAAGAGCAAATGTTTGTTTCTGATTTGTAACAAACTAACATCTTAGATCTAGACACGAATGGGCCGACAGACGGCGTTCCATTTGGAGAGCCTCTTCTTGCAACGCCACCACCAGAACCAGACCCCAAACCTCCATCCCTCCCTAGCCTCCCCTCAACCCCTCCCACCCAGAAGCCTCCATTTCTGCTCAGATCTGCGCCGTGGCAGCGCGGCAGGGGCCGAAGGGGGGTCCTGGATAGGGGCCGGATGTTTGAAGACCCAGCTGTGATGAGGGTGGTAGAGGGCCGGCCAAGCCTCATGGTGACTTATGACTGATCTGATGGTTTTAATAGGATGAGTCGGCTCATAGAGTCTGTGTCTGACTGTTTTTGCCCTTCCTTCAAGAGTCTGGACAGCGCTATAGTAGACTGCGGTCACGCTCTTTACCGAAACACCTTTCGGGAGAATGTAAGTACAAACATTTAATATTTTCTCTCCCCACTCTACTCTGCTCATTTATTTCCATTGTTTTTCCTAGAGAATGATGCCTGCTTACAAAAAAACCTCTGTCTCAGGATCAATGCTTCAGGTTAAGAGCTTATTTTATGTGCAACACGATAAGTTAGTCAAACCACAGTATTGGTTTTTTATTTTTCTTTTATCCGTAGGACGATGCCATAGTGTGTGTGATTGGTCACAGAGGCAGAGGTCAGCACATGAACTCTAATTTCATGGATGTACCCTGTCCCATCTCCTCATATGGAGGAAGGAGAGGGGTACCCAGAGGATCCTACTCCAGAAGATATTTTGGCCAACGAGTGCCTCAGGTGGAAAGCCTTTCGTTTGCAAAATCACATTTGTCCCATTGAAGGGAGGTTTGTCTGTGCCTATTAGAAAATTGGCAGCACTCACCTGGTGATCTTTTAAAGCTTATAGGGATAAGCTCTGCAGGAAATTAAGCTCTTTATATTGTCTTTTAATTTAAATGTAGATTTATATTTATCCTGCAGATGCATGAGCCCATGATGCCAAGATCACCAATCTTCTCACGTCAACCTCTAACCCCTCGACAGCATTTCAACCAGGTTAATTTAAAATTATGTATGAGAGAAAATGGTCACTGATCTGCTTTGACTCTTGTTTATGTTCTTATGAAGCAGATGGGGAACTTCGTGTTTCCTCCAAACCACCCCTGCCACTCCACTGCTCAGCCATTATCCCCAAAGATAATGCAGCTTCGTTTTGGTGCAAACTCACCAGGGCACTCCCCATTTTACAGCCCCTCCACTAACCCTGTGGAGCCGTTCAGGTTGGTTTTGATCTCCAAGCTTTTGATTTGACCTGAAACATTTGGTCACAATCTGAATCTATGAAAGAAACGCTATTGGATGATTATTATGAGGTAATGTTTTCCAACGTGTGGATAGTTTAGAACAACCTACAGGTAGCATCTTTTCATGTATCGTGACATCTCACCTGTGGCCAGCAGGTGCCCTGGTCCAGTCACAAGGCTACATCCTCAACATAAACGACTACTCAGTCAAAAACCACACATTTTCCAAAGGTTGGCACCACATTGTCTAAACAATGTCTTTCTTAAAACATTCCCTTTTTTTTTTACATGTTCAGTAGAAATTAATGGCCCATTTGTCCTGCTCACAGGAAGTCCGAAGGCTGGGACCCCTGCTGTAATCTCATGACCACTAAAGAGAAGGAGTGGATCACCCGGCTGCAGATGATTCAGCTGCAGAGTGAGAACCCATATCTTGAGGACTACTACTACCAGGTACAAGACAGAATAATGGAAAGTGTTCACTGTCTTCAGGATTTGTCTCCCTCCTTTATTTATGCTTCTAATCAACTAGACTTCTTTAACATTTGGGTTTCTGAAGGTTTTTGGACTCATTGTCAGCCTTGTTCCTTTCAAAGGGGACACATTAGAGAATTCACTTTTTGCCAGAGGTGGAGCTAGGGGGTGGCTATTTGGGCTCAATCCCCAAATCAAAATTTCCCTACATATAAATATATATATATATCAAATTTCTGTTAGTCTCCGGGAAAAACTTTTGAAGAATTATTTCCCAGCCTCATGAGTCGCTCACCTAAATGCCACATGTAAAATTTGACACTAACTGTTTTCTAGCACCAACAAGGCCATTCTCAAAGCTGTTTGCTGACTCGTAAACACAGAGGGTCATCTGAGGGATGGTTCATCTCTCAGGCCCTGTTTTTTTGTCATTGATCATTCTGGTTTCTTAACTTCCTTTTTAAAAGGAAGATTTTGTTTCCACTGTCGCTGCATGCTTGCTTGGTATGAGAATTTCTTTAAAGACACTGACACTAGTCATTGACTCGGTGTAATCTGCTGGGTTCCTTATATAAAACATTTTACTGATTGGCTTAATGAACTGTATTAGAATGTTTACTTTGTGAAATGCCTTTGGACGACTCGTCGCGATTTAGCGCTATATAAATAAAGTGAATTGAATTAACTTTCAGTCACTAATTTAATTTCTTGTCCTTCACTTGCTTGCTGATCAATTCGTACCCCAATGCCCAGAAACCTCTTCCAGGGCCTTCAGAAAGTATAAAGAAACATTAATCAAGAACATTTTAAGACTACAAGGCAGTCTGGCTTCTTGGAAATGGTGTAAAGCAGTGGTATCAAATCTTGGTCCACAATGACCTCTGCCCACTATTCTTTTAGAGGTTTTTCTGCTTCAACACACCTGGTTTGAATCAGCAGGTGCACCACTTGTGTAAAGAATTTAAGGGGTGGTTTGAATCTTTTGCAGTTGCATTGTTGCTGTGCTTTTGTGCAGAATAGTGGGATTTAAAGTTTTTGTTTAAACTGTCAAACAGGAGTATTACCGCCGTATAGAAGCCAAGATGGCAGAAGAAGAGCTGGGCATCAGGAACAAGAAGGAGCCGCCGAAGCTCACCACCCCTTACATCACAAAAACTGACACCTACACACCAGGTTCATCTTATTGACTCTTTATGCTACTAGGTGACATTTAAAATTGCATCCATGAAGCATTCTCTAGCAGAGCCCTCTGCCGGTGTTGAGATGACATGATTTTTGTTCTACATTTACGAAAGGCTGAGACTTTCAAACATCTCAAGGGTGCAGACCTTCCTGTTTTTTGTTTCAGTTGTTCATATCGAAGGCTCTTTAGGTCAAGTTGCTGTGTCCACCTGTTACTCTCCTCGCCGTGCCATCAGCGCAGTCCATGCGGTCCAGGCTCATTGTCCTGAGGTCTGTTTGTCACCATGTCTTTAATGTGAAAATCAGCTGTTTTTCATAATCTCTAATGACATCTTTACAGGAACATAAAGACACCAGACAACAACGACTGGAGATTCTCTGCAAAATAGAAAAGGTATCTGCTCTATTTGACTGAAGGCCATTTATTATGACCTTCATAGCATTGTTGTATTGTTGTCCTGCAGCTGTTCATAGCTTTGCTGGAAGTGGAGGAAATGGAGAGAATGAAAACCACAGTTTTATCTGAAGCAGAAGAAAGAAGACTGATGGAGAAATCCCAGAGGAAGGTGGAGTGCATCTACTCCCAGCTGCAGCATCACAACTCAACGTGAGTCCTGGCTTTCCTTCATCACACTGTCATTTGAGCGATTCACCTAAGGCTTCTGGAATTTCATCTCTTGATGCAGTGCTTCAGGAGAAGAGTTTCTTCCATTCCTGGTTGTCTCAAAAGGAAAAAAGCTTCTTGCCCGCCTGCTCCCGTTTCTGAAGCTAGATGCAGCTCTGACGGTCCTGCACGTTGTGACCTCTAACCTTCCTATGTTGATGAGTAGAGACACAGAGGAGGTGGGTCAGGTCCAGATTATGTATGTAGCTGAACAGGCCAAGCAAGATTTTGAAATAAAAATAATAATAATAATATTGGGATTTATAATGACCATAACAATTTAATCTTTCAGGCTCTTCCAGTCCTCTATCCACCTCTTCGTAATGTGATCTGTGTTTTGACATTCAATCAGCTCATTACTGTCCTCAAAGATCTGACTTCTTCAGAGTCCCCTTCAACATTTGAGTGCCTCTCACTGGCATGTCAGAACAAGGTAGGTGCTTCAGAGAGGAACTCTCTTCCAGTGGTGACTTGTCCATAGAGGGTGCTGTAGCGTTAACGAGTGACCACATATGTATCAAAATGACCAATAAGATGTGGTGATTCCATATAATAAGAAATATCAATCTGACTGATCATTGAATGTTTAATCAGAAAATTATAGTTACTTTTACTTGTTATAAGTAAATAAAACAGTGACTTTTACTGAACTTGTAAGTGTAAAAAACAAACATTTATGCACCTGGCTAACACATTTTGGGGTCTTTTTATTATTTTTCTCATAAATTATACTGACTCATGACATTGAGTAATGAAACTGGATATTGAAGGGTTAAAATTCTCAAAGTGACTGTTTATAGATGAACAGATTCATGGGGAAAAAAAGCAACACAAAAAGGAGCCACTCTGACGAGTAGACGGTTTGGTCTAAAGCCTGATTTATACTTCTCTGGTCACATCAAGGTAGTACATTAAAGTGACACCTGAGGGTTAAGTACATTTAAGTTTTTATTTATTTTTTAGTCTTGAAATGTAGCTTCTTTTTTTTTTTTTTAATGGCATCGCATTTTCTGCCATGCTGCTGAAGATGAATATTATGCTGAAGCTCAATTTGAAGAAAATCTTGACTCACAATTGGACCTTTTCCTAAAACCTTTTCCTAAAACCAATCAGGCCCAAGGCTTCATGTTGCTGCTAGTCAGCTTTTTGGTTAATGTGAAAATTTTATTTACATTGTGTTTTTTTTTTTAATTGTCTCTTCAGTTTGGACTGTCCTTGTTGTATGCTCTCCTGTCTCACGGAGAGAAGCTGCTTTCCTCAGGAGTTCCTCTGGAGCCCAGCATTGGAGACTTTGAGACCTGGTAGGAACTTAACGGTCAGCTGCAATCAGTTTGAATGATTTGGTCATTTTTATGATGATTTCACATGTTTGTTTTTAGGACTGACATAATCTTCCAGGTGGCTGCACAGTTGTCCCAGTGCTCACTGGTGGAGCCTCTCCTGCTGCCATCTAACCTTCTCACTCTCTTCTGTCGATACCTCGACAAGCGCACCGTGCATCAGCTAAAAAGCAATATGGAGTAAGGTCCCATTTCAAATGCTTTAACATTTCCATCAGTTTTAGGCCTTGTCCACACGTAGCAGGGATTTATCCATAAACAAAAATCAGCCCTCCCAGAATCCACACCACCTTTCTTTTAGAAAACACTCCATCCATATGTAACTGCATACGTGCATCTTTAAGCACTTTAATAGGCATGTCATGGGCCATTCCCATCTGTACCGGGTCGGCCCGGGCCGGGTAGCCCCAGTAAGCCCCAGCCTGGCCTGGTTGATTCCACACATCCTTGTCTTAAGCCCATGTGGGCTGATTCTACCCACCAATCAGAGGCTTGTTCTAATGGAAGGTGTGAATTTGCTGTCAGCAGTGGGTGTGTTGGCCCTGGTCGGCCTGAAGCAGACCCCCTCGAGAAGAGGGCTGAGAATGAGCCTTGGTTGGCCCGGAAAAATACCAGGCCACCCAGATATGTTAACAACCTGTGCTTCCCGGCCCGGGCCGACCCGGTACAGATGGGAATGGCCCATCAGATCCATTTTGTCTTCCTGCTTAACTTAAACAAAACGTGAAACACGGCTCCTAGCTCATTGGTGCTGACCAAGAAGGAGGTAGAATTACTAAAAAACAAAGCCCTTGGATGAGAACGCGAGCACAGCTCTGAGGACCTCCATGTTGTTGTGCGAACACAGGTCGCACATGGGTCATCAGCATTTCTGTCTGAGTGATGTTGTGAAACCAACTCTGGATATTTCTGTCCACACATTAAAACGGAGGAAACGCAAATCTTCACTTTGGACAGACTTTTTAAAAGTTTTTTTTGTTGCGTAAATCTGCGTTTTTGTGTGGATGGCTGGCCACACTGAAGAAAAATATATTCCTTTTGAGAGATATCCAGCTATATGTGGACAAGGCCTTAATCATTACACAAAAATGAGCTCTAATTTCTGTTCAGGTCTGCAACTGGGTTCCTGGCTCTTCCATCTTGAGGAAGGAAGCTCATGAGATGTTTGGCTGATCAGGTTCTGGAAAGACTTGTCCTCAGTACCAGTTATAACAGAAGTTATGGTTTTTTGTTTTTGTTTTGTTTCTGATTGCTTCCCCTCACCCATCCCTTCACATTTTTGCACCTCAAGCTGTTTCCCTTTTATTTATTTTAATAATTTTACTTTCCATCCTCTGAACTCTGCTTATCTGTGTGACTCTTAACAGTTTTCTTTTTTAATTTTCCACAAAATCAACTTCAACTCCGACATCTGACTGAATATGGTGGCCAGGTGGAGGATTATTTACCACCATGTGTTTGTTCTAACCATTGACTAAAGTTGTCATGACTCAACGGGTCACATAATTCTGTTTTGTAAAAAGCATTGTGTATACATGTTTAATGATGCTAAATAGGATTTTTTATGTGATTTTGTATCTTAAGTCTCAGTTGTAAAAATGTTTTTCATTTGGAAACAGGAATAATTTAAATTGCACTCTTGTACAGCACTTGCATCATGAATAAAAAATATTTGCTCAGACATTTGATTAGATTGCAGACAAGGCTTTTTGACCCTTATAGTGGGTCTATTTTTTATTCTTTCCTAGATCAAGTTTGTTTGCAGTAAATTTTAAAATGGCTAAATATAATTTGGGGGTGTGGGGGGGTGATCTTATTCCAATGTTATTTTTGGTAAACTTAATCAAATGTTTGAAGATTCCAACTCTGATGGTTAACTTTGCTTCGGCTGATCTAACCAAAAAGATTATTAAAGCTTATGGTATCAAATGAAGAGATGCAATTCTAAAACTTTAAAGTGAAATTTGGGTACTGAATAGGAAAACTGCAAAAATACAATGATCTGCATAATAAAAATAATTTAAAACGTTTTAAATTTACAATGAGTAGAGTAATCTCAAACTACTCATTTTCACTGCCCAGCCTAGAAAAAGTCACACAATCTCGTTAATGACATGCGTTTGCTGTGGCATTTTCTAAAAGCTTCTGCAAAGATTTATTTCCATCCACTGTTGCATTAATGATGGTAGTCTTACCGCTGCACAAAGCCTTCTCCTGCACACCCCAAAGATTCTCGGTAGGGTTAAGGTCTAGACTCTGCGGTGGCCAATCGATGTGTGAAAATGATGTCTCATGCTCCCTGAACCACTCTTTCACTATCTGAGCCTGATGAATCCTCGTATTGTCATCTTGGAATATGCCCTTGCCATCAGGGATGATGGAATAACCAGGTCATTCAGGTTGTCAGCTGACCTCATGAGTCAATTAACTTAAAAAATTCCCTTGATTTCAAATGATTGAATAATCAATGTTTTTTTTAGTTCCTATAATGCATTAATAAAAAGTATGCAACCATAAACTACAAAACTCATATTTTTAAGACATGTTGCTTAATGCAATACTAATTAAGCTGAAAAGGTCAAAGTTTGTTTTGTAAAGTCTAATATTGGAATGTTGGCCCATTAAATATTTGCATTTGGGTGGTGGTGAGGGTTCCCGTTTTATGGGAGGCAGAACTGTCACCCTGTTAACTAAGACTTACCATGAGCTTATGAAGCTGTGTGAAGTCTGGGTAAACACACTAACTGTTTAAATGTTTTTGACTTCATAGATCACGTGAGAGCTGTCAAAATCTTATTTTTTTTCCTTTCTCTTGGTTGCTCCAACTATTGAACCAATGACTTAAAATCTGTACAGTGTTTTCGGTTAAATTTCTTTAATAAGAGACTGATTATTTAAAGGGGACCTATTGTGCAAAACTCCTTTTGTATCCATTTGTGGTGCCATGTGGGCCTCTTTTGCCTCTATAAACACTCAGAACATGATAAAAAAACTCTGAAAGTGTTGGGTTTAGGAATTACTTGCATGAAACAAGCTATTTCAAAAAGTACCTGTTTGTGATGTCACAAATGGGCAAATTACAATATAACTTCCCCCACATGTAAGAGATGCTGCTGCTGGTCAGGCTGGAAGATAGGAGCGATATCCCATTCACCGTTGTTTTACATATTCCCTTCACTCATTTCCAGTGGTGAAAGGGAGTCGCATGTCCTTGTCATTTTGCTGGAGGTTGAATGATCTGATGAAATACCCATTCAAAAATTGCACTCCCACGGATTTTTGACCCCAATGGCCATCCGTTGGTAAGGTCTTGCAGCTTGCTTGTAATGATTTAGGTTTGTACTGCCCCCTATCGCCAGGAAAATACATGGACACTTTAAATGTGTGCACCACAGTCTGAATAAATTTTACTGGTGCACAATGTGATAATCTAGGTGCCGTGGAGGAAAAACATGATTGTGAAATCAAGAATGTCTAAACTCTACAAAGCGAAAGAAAAATCCTCACCATCCTCTTTATTCTTAGCTGCCTGCAGCAGTATGGAACAGAACCGCACAGATACCGGGAGTCACGTTTTAGCTACAAGTCTGCTGCTCCATAACAATGCAAGGCTAAGGCAAGCCATTGTATGTAATTCCCAAATGCTTCTATATTTGAACATAATTTATACTGGGATGTTGCCAAACCATAACTAATATGTCACTACTACATTGATACCAGTAAAACCTAAATGTTATTAGAATTTCAAATATCACTGCACATGTTAATGAAATACAAAAAATTATACTGATCAAAGTTTACCTGTGGCTATATTTAGATATATTATTTTGACTAGGATGAGTGATATTAATATGTCTAAAATGTACAAGTAAAATAAATATCAGATGGAAAAGGGAGACAAGACAATATTACACATTATTGAGTCTTTTATAAGTGACATTTTAGCCTCATAAATTAGGTGTTTCAGGTTTGTAACAGCAGAACACAATATCATTTCACTTGAAATGTCAAGGTATTTGATTAATGACAGAGGATTCAATAGAATATTTGAATACAAAGATATTTGATATCTGCAGCCTTATTTAAAACCTTTAACAGAACAGAAAAATCCCATTCAGAGGGAGGCAGCAACTCGCTCACACTGTTTACAGTGGGGATGGGGAGCTGCTGACGTCAACTGGGGCTATAGTCGGACGTTGGAAGGAATACTTTGAGGAAATCCTCAATCCCACCTATGTGCATTCCGAGGAGGAACCAGAGCCGGGAGACCTGGGGAGGGACTGTCCAATCTCGGGGGCAGAAGTTGCTGAGGTAGTCAAACAACTGCACAGCGGCAGAGCCCCGGGGGCGGATGAGGTTCGTCCTGGGTATCTCAAGGCTATGGATGTTGCAGGGCTGTCATGGTTGACATGTCTCTGCAACATTGCATGGTCATCGGGGGCAGTTCCTGTGGAGTGGCAGACCGGGATGGTGGTCCCCATCTTTAAGAAGGGTGACCTGAGGGTGTTTTCCAACTATAGGGGGATCACACTCCTCAGCCTCCCTGGAAAGGTCTACTCCAAGGTACTGGAGAGGAGGGTCCGATCGATAGTTGAATCTCAGATTGAGGAGGAGCAATGTGGTTTTCGTCCTAGCCATGGAACTGTGGACCAGCTCTATACCCTTGCAAGGGTGATGGAGGAGGCATGGGGGTTTGCCCAACCAATCCACATGTGTTTTGTGGATTTGGAGAAGGCTTATGACCGTGTCCCCAGGGGCACTCTGTGGGGGACGCTCCAGGAGTATGGGGTGGGTGGCTTTCTGTTAAGGGCCATTCAGTCCCTTTACCAGAGGAGTGTGAGTTTGGTCCGCATAGCCGGTAGTAAGTCGGACCTGTTCCCAGTGAGGGTTGGACTCTGCCAGGGCTGCCCTTTGTCGCCAGTTTTGTTCATTACCTTTATGGGCAGAATTTCTAGACGCAGCTGTGGTGTGGAGTGTGTCGAGTTTGGTGGCAGGAGAATCTCGTCTCTGCTTTTGCAGATGATGTGGTCCTCCTAGCCTCATCCAGTTCTGACTTTCAGCTCTTGCTGGGCTGGTTTACGGCCGAGTGTGAAGCGGCTGGGATGAGGATCAGCACCTCCAAATCTTAGACCATGGTTCTCAATCGGAAAAGGGTGGCTTGCCAACTCCGGGTCGGGGGAGAGGTCCTACCTCAGGTGGAGGAGTTTAAGTATCTCGGGGTCTTGTTCACGAGTGAGGGTAGGAGGGATCGGGAGATCGACAGGCGGATTGGTTCATCTTCTGCAGTGATGCGGACGTTGAGCCGATCAGTCGTGGTGAAGAGGGAGCTGAGCCAGAAAGCCAGGCTCTTGATTTACCGGTCGATCTATGTCCCAATCTTCACCTATGGTCATGAGCTTTGGGTAATAACCGAAAGAACGAGATCGCGGATACAAGCGGCCAAAATGAGTTTCCTCCGTAGGGTGGCCGGGCTCAGCCTTATGGGCCATTCCCATCTGTACCGGGTCGGCCCGGGCCGGGTAGCGTAGGTTGTTTACATATCTGGGTGGCCTGGTATTTTTCCGGGCCAACCAAGGCTCATTCTCAGCCCTCATCTCGAGGGGGTCTGCTTCAGGCCGACCAGGGCCAACACACCCACTGCTGACAGCAAATTCACACCTTCCATTAGAGCAAGCCTCTGATTGGTGGGTAGAATCAGCCCACATGGGCTCAAGACAAGGATGTGTGGAATCAACCAGGCCAGGCTGGGGCCGACTGGGTCTACCCGGCCCGGGCCGACCTGGTACAGATGGGAATGGCCCATTAGAGATAGGGTGAGGAGCTCGGACATTCGGGAGGGACTCGGAGTAGAACCGCTGCTCCTCCGGATTGAAAGGAGCCAATTGAGGTGGTTTGGGCATCTGGTCAGGATGCCTCCTGGATGCATCCCTGGGGAGGTGTTTCGGGCATGTCCTGCAGGCAGGAGGCCCCCGGATCGACCCAGGACACGTTGGAGAGGTAACATCTCCAATCTGGTCCGGGAATGCCTTGGGGTCCTGCTGGAGGAGCTGGTGGAGAAGGCCGGGGAGAGGACGGTTTGGAGCTCCCTAGTTGGGATGCTGTCCCCGTGACCCGGACCCGGATAAGCGGAGGAAGACTATGACGAGAACAGAAAAATGTGAACAAGAATATACAAAAACACCTGCACCAAACCAAGGTACGTCTGAGAAGGGAAAAGTTTGAGTACAACATGGCAGTGTTGTGCCTGATCAAGTTCATTGAACTAATGTTTGTGAACTTGTTGGGCGATGGTGGCACAGGAGTCAAGTGCTCGCCCCGTAATTTGAAGGTTGCAGGTTTGAGCCCCGCTCAGTTTGTCGCTGTTGTTGTGCCCTTGGGCAAGTCACTTAACCCCCCTTGCCTGCTTGTGGTGGTTGGAGGGACCGGTGGTGCCTGTGCTCAGCAACCTCGCCTCTGTCAGTGAGGGCACCCAGGGTAGCTGTGGCTACATCATAGCTCATCACCACCAGGGTGTGAATGTGTGTGTGCATAGGTGAATGACTGATAGTGTTGTAAAGCACCTTGGGGGGGGGTTCCAGGACTCTAGAAGGCGCTATATCAACTACAGGCCATTTGTTGGTATTTAATGAAAGTTAAAGTGCACTCATTCTGGCGTGTGTGAACAGGTTTATGAACAGCA